AACATATCAACATCTAGTCACTTAGTAAAAAAACCTTCTTCAATGATGAACGTTTTCCATCGTTTGTGAAACAGAGGTGTTTGGGAATTCAAAGAATTGTTTTGCTGGTAACACGTAAACATGTAATCGATAGATGCTTAGATACGATGTGATAAACAAAACAAAAACAAATTGCGGCGAGTTACATTGATAAAGCCGTTTGAACTTCCGTTCTCCGACTGTATGATAACCATTTCCCCGGGTACAAAAAGTAGCATATGATTTTGTATGTGTATAATAACAGGAAAGGAACGAAGAAAAATGCGCTAGCTCTTTATTACACTACTGGTTATACCATTTTAATTTATCTATGTTACTGAGTATGGTTAACAATTTGATACTTGATAGAATGGTAACACTCAACAATTATGGAAAATACTAAAATATCAATTTTAGTGCACATGTTTTGATACTCGTAAGGACCAAGAGTTTATGCATTCAATATGCATATCAGGGATTACAACATTGTATATATAATATATATACAATATTATTAAGTAGATAACAGAAAACTTTCCAATGAATACGATAGATTCCAATGAATACGATTCTTCTGTACGTAATCTATTTAAAGTATTATATGAACAGATGTGCTATAATTAACGTTACACTACAACTTTATCTTCTACTAAAAATACGAGCCAATTGTGTGAAATTACAATTATCGCCTCACTTGCAGAATAAGTTCTTATTTCGAATTACTTTGCTTTATTTCATCAATTCTTATTTGTAATTAGCTTTCAGTTACGTCGTAAACATTACTTTTTTTTTCAAAACATTATCAGACGACGCCCTGTCTACATTAACCTCATATATATATATATATATATATATATATATATATATATATATATATATATATATATATATATATATATATATATGAAGTTAATGTAGACAATCTAATAAAATTAAGTGTTTTCTTTCAAGTATTTTAATACTAAGGAATAATTGATTCTCGAGAGGAAACCCGATGGCCTGTGATACGGATCTTGGGACACTTAGGTTAGGCACTAATTCTTCACAGCTATATATTCGATTATGATTCTTAGATATCCTGTATCATTGTACTAAAAAAGTTGTGAGAAAAAATAATTGTTAGGCGCTGACCATTTTGGTTACAATAAATAAGTGGAAATTGTCGCGGATAATATTCGCAAAGATAATCCGTGGCCGAAGCGAACAATTCGACAGTGAAATAAAATTAAATACAATATAATATACCTATTAGGAAAGAGACAGTCGAACAAAGGGCAATAGTTGACATCACGTTACCAGCCATGTGTGTATTAAAATTAGTTCAACGCGCGATAATTTCATTATGGTACGCTACTTGATACGACACCGCTCGCAAACCTAGTATAGATATATTTACTTCTTAAATATATCAAATACTTTTTTAAACATAGTAAATTTATTTTCGAACGTACTGCGACATAATTACAGGTAAATAGCGCTTAAATATCAGTCGCGTCTCAAAAATAATTTAAAAAGTATATTTTACTGTACAAGTCCGTACATTGGGCAAATCTTAGGTTTAACTAGTAAACCTTATTTTACATAATTTACATACATATATATTTTTATATGTTTTACCAACATAAATTAGTAAAAAAGACGATTTTTCGAACATTAACCAAACTACAACCTAAACTAATCGGTAACATATCAGAAATATTTTGTGATCTATTTAGTTAGCTATTTATCTCAGAGACGTGGAATCCAAATGTTAAAAAAGACATATTTAAGCTTGTTTAGTGCGTGATGTTCGTACTCGTGGTTGGAAAGGTAGGTTTAATTTGATTTGGTGATATCCAAAAAAATATATGGTTTTTTAGAAACCTATAGATTATAAAACATGTTTACAAACACGTGTAACATTACAAGAAAAAATATCAGATGAACTGAGAACCTTTTCGACCATCGCTCATAATTTTTTTAACTGTATCAAGTTGTTTCATCCCTTATCAGTGAAAATCATTTTGCTAACAGCAGGATTAATGAGGGTCGGCGTTCTTCGCATACCAGTTTATCTTAGATATTTGTTTTAAATTTTTATCTTGAAAACAAAGAAAATTCCATAGGTTTAAACCAAGTAGTACCATTTAACAAATATATATTTTTAGTAGTAGCCTGCCAAAGATATTAGAAACGTCTTTCTAGACTTTTAATTAAAAATATATTCGCTTCTAGCAGTAGTGCCAAAATATTTATTAAAGCGATTAAACTTGTAAAACAAGATGTTTATATTCTTCACTTGGCAGTGGTTACTGTCGCTTATTTCACCAAAAATATTACTGTCTCGTCTTTTATCATAATGTACATAAAATTATCTTTGTCATTTCATACTTTTTGTAGTTTCTTTATATTTCGTCATTTATCATTGTTTCATTGTATCAATGGCCCACTGCTGGGACCACTTTTATAACTTCTTTTTCTAAAATTCTAAAACCTATAAAACATATATATGGTACAGAATGTTTAAAAACGTTTGCACGAACCAAAGGGATTACCCTTACCTCTTTACGAATTCTTTACTAATGTTACAAATGTGAAAGTGAAGTTTGTTTGTTTGCTGTCTTATAACCTTAACGGCTTAACCAATGTCTATGAAATATATACGTACTATATGGAATCGAAAAGGACATAGACCACTTTTTACCACGGTCAATGAACTCACATAAACACTTCTTATAAATCACAGAACACTTATTGAAAAGAAAGAAGAAAAAAAAAATTTTAATTTCGATTGTTGCGAAACTACAAATATTTATTCATTTAGTTTTTCACCTAGGTCGATAATGAGATCAATGCACTGTCGTTATATAAATAGGTATATAATTTATTGTTGTTGTGTGTTGTTGTGGAGTTGAAATTGGCACAGACAGCCCGGCCTGGGCTGGCAACTTCGGCCTTGTACATAAATACTAAACGCATTAGGTACCTTCTTTAATATATCATTACAGATCTCGATAATAATTGTCAATTGACCCATTTCCACGATCGATCTTATAAAACCTTGAATAATTTTATTACGATAATACATGTCAATGTTAATAAGAGCTCATGACTTTATTAGATCATAGTAATTTCGAATAATAAGGTTCTTTATTCTTTCCAAACGACTTCAAAAAAAAAAGAATGTTCTCAATTCAAGGGTACTTTTCTATGTTTGTTATCTCATAACTCCATCAGGTATAAACCGATTTGGAAAATGTTAAAGTGAGTTTATTGGTATATTTAACCAAATGGTTTGAAATTTGAATAAACTGAACATGTACTGTATGTGATAGAGAAGAACATAGGAAACTTTTTATCCCGGTCAGTGAACATATCCAGGTTAAAGCTAGTAATTCATAAATTCGAGTATAAGTGTTTTCTAAGTTATGATTTTAATTATGTTTTACATTTTAATTGATAGGGATTCTTGTTGAGATTGGTCGTACCCACCCACATATTTTGTATTTCATGCTTTTTTTGTAATTATATAATTAGAATAAATTTTCATTTTTAATAATAAAACAGCGAAATTCCTTGTGAATATCCTTAATTTCTATTTATAAATGCTAAAACGGGATCACCTTGACGTTCGTATGAGTTCCGACAGTTGAAGGTTCAATAAACCCATCGACATTCTACGTTCGCTCGTATTTAAATCTATCAATTAAATGGTAATCAATGCAGCGCATGTTTTGAGCTGACCCTTGCACTAGACCCTTACTGATAAAAATGTTATTTATAATTTTTTTTAGAAAGTTATGTAAAGTGTTAGAACAAGAGCTCACTTCAGTATGTAGCGTCGAAACATACATGTAAATAACATTAATATATTATAGCTCATCGGTGAAAAATAGTTCATTACTATCATTGTGATGCCAGGTTTTTATGAGGTAGGCTAGGGTAGTCAAAGAATCTAATTTTAAATAATTTTGTTTGTTTTCATAGATGACGTTGTTAATATATAAGAGGACCAACAAAATTTGTAAATATAAAAACATTATTTTAAAACCTATGTTATTCGAGTTAGGGCCACTGCTTATAATATTTGTGTGTATGCTAATCCTCAATGAGGGTCCTAAACTATAGTGTCGTAGATGACCAATCTACTATCTATTGCGACTATAGTTCGCATAAAATTACTTATTACTAAAAAGATGACTGCCAGTTCATATTTATCAGGCCAACGGTCTCCACTAGCAACCATCATGGTTATTTCCTATTGAATTTATTAAGATAGGCTAACTGTAATAATAATAATATCATCATCATCATTCAGCCATCATATATAATAATAATATTTTTTTTTATACAACTTAGAATGGCAAACAAACTGACGGCCCACCTGATGGAAAGTGGTAACCGTCGCCTATAGACATGAGCAGTACCATGGACATAACAGAGTATACTGTTTCGACCATGATACCCCCATGCGTTGCCATTCCCGAGGACTCAGGTGTTATTCCTCTGTACTCAGTAAATTCACGCCATATCCCACCCTTCAAATCGAAACACAACCATGTAAACACAGCTGCTTCACGGTTAAAACACGAATGAGACAGAGGTGCCCAAGCAATCGACTTTTGTACAAAGTCTCCCTCTAGTAATAGGTATACTCCTATTTATTTTACTTAACACAGTCAACTGGCTCAATTTTAGTTTTATCTTTTCATTACTACTGCCCCGCCATTATATATCATGATCTTGACATGTTGATAACATGCGATTTTTTTCTACATAACTGGTTTATGGTCGTTGATCAGGATAAAGTAGTCTATGCCGTTCTCCATCCCATATAGTAACGTGTATACTAAATTTTATAGCGATCAATTAAAGCTATTACGACGCCAAGAAGTAACAAACTAAATTATTTTCTACATTTATATTATAATAGGAAGGAATACACTCCATTTTCATTCACACAAGTACCTATAAATTCTTAATAATGCCTATTTCTTTTTCAGAAATTACTCTTTCTTATATTAATCAGCTGCGGTGTTGCGCTATCAACTAAGCAATGTTGTCCAAATGGTGAGATTTTGTTACCCAGAGGCCACTGCGGCGCAGACCATATGGTATCACTGAATTGCCAGGAGGGAAGAATGCTGCTCAGAGACATTATCCTTAATGGAGATAAGGTTTCCACAGTGGACACACCCAATTTTGTGTTCGTCGAAGACCCAGAACAGTCAGTATCTTAATATTAATTTCATTTAAAATGCATTTAATTTTCGTGACCTCTCTTCGTGATTCCTTCCACATTCATTATTCTATTTAAGAGTACTTCTAGTTTGACCATCTTTTAGCATATCACATATTGTATCGACGTGGGTACATGCATACAGCTTCTAACGACGTTTTACTATACACTGTCTTTATTTTACTATAATAATATGTACTTAGACTATTAATCGGCTAATAGGCCGTTATGACAGTATTCTTTTATGTTAATATAATATAAATATACACAGCGTTCACAGACGTTTCTTTTACAAAAGATTCTTACATTAATGAATATGTATTTATTTTGTGATATTTATAAATTTCAGGTATTGTATTGGCACAATGTACCGCGACGTTGAGAATCATGACAATGGAACCATCCCAGTGGCCGTTGTGTGTTTCGAGAAGATCCCAAAAACAGGCAAGGACTTCGAGGTCAGCGGTATCCTGACACTTATATCTGTGGTGTTCCTCTTAGCCACTGTTCTAGTTTACAGCTACCTTCCACGACTGAGGTAAGAAAATCAGTTAAAAACTTTTTAAACAACAAAATAAAAACAATGTACCTACTCACGACTGTAATCCCAAAACAAGTTCATGGACACACAGACAATAGACGACGCAAGTACCACAGTCAATATGAAAACTATGCGTGTCAAAATACTATGCTCTGTGATGTTTTCTATCTATCAATAAAAATACAGAAATCCCCTTCAGCACTGAACAGTTTTATCAAACTTATTCTCAACAAAAATATATACCAGAGTTTAGGCAAAGTGCAAATATTCGACATCCTTCATCTGGGTTCATGTTCTGAGCATGTTTTTTGCCAACGACTACTAGATCTTATAGTGTGATTATTTAAGATTTTGGTCTGAAAAAAACCGAATATAATTTTGACCAAATTTATATGAAACCAAACCAGGAGTAAAATCTACCGAATACTAAAATCATTATAAAAATCAGTTCAGATTATAACGAAAGAAATAGAACAAAGGTATCGCGTAACAAATACACAAAAATTATATACAGGCGAATTTAATATCAACTTTTGAAAACTCTTGATAATATTGCAACGTTGTTTGTCAATGCAAAATATGTTACACGCCTATAAAATAAACCAGCTAGGAACATGGCTAAGAACTAGTTCTCACAATACAAGTTTCTACTTATCGCTTCGTTCGTAGGTAGGTGAAGGCACTCATAATTGTACCTGGTCGTTTGATGTTTGCATATGATATTTTCCTATTTACCATATGTATACTGTCTATAAATTAGGACTATATGATAAAATTATCCACTGTTAGCAGAAGTAACGGTGTCGCTTGATGTTACTACTCTTATTAGATCCGCCATAACTAAATACGCCTAAATAACTGTACACAAATGCTATTTTAGGTACAGTACTTTATGTTGAGTATTTTCCATGTGGCGACGAATTAAGAAAATAACCTGTTAGCATTCCGTTACACCTGTAGAAAATAGGACGCGAGTATTCTCATATGTGTGCATGTGTGCATTATTATGCACATTATAAGAAGGAAAACTCAAAACCCAGAAACTAAGTCAGCTAACTAGTCAAAAGAAGGGAGGGGGAAAAGGATTGTTAGCAATGGAGTTTGACAGTCCCGTTGCTAGCAATATACCTTATTAGGTCGACCTCCACGTGGTTCCCCCTGGAAACCATCGTAAACAATTCTTGTTGAATTCGTTGCGGTGGGCTAACTGAGCTACTTCATTCTCACCTATCATTTTTCACTGGTGCCCCGCCGGTGTATACCGATAGCGCGGGTGGGGTTACCATTCCATTATCATCCATTTAAAAAAAACTACTCAAAAGGACGATAATTTTGTTTTATGGGGAGACCGATGGCCAACGATGTTATGATGATGACTTTATGAGTAGGAACAAAAATAAATAAAAGCCGGATATTATTATTATGGTAGGACTAAACTGTATAAGTATCTATTTGTATCTAGAACTGGTTTTTTTTTTTTATTTGTGTTAATAATCCTGATATGGCCCACACTGGCCTTAGCTATCATTGATTCAACATCCAATAATATGTCCTATCTACTATTTGCTTTGTCTGTTAACTCTTTGGCTCTTATATCAATCTTCATGGTATCTATCATAATATCTAATATAATAAAGGTTTACTTACTATCGCCTTCATAAATGACTACTATTTTCCGGAGAATTATTCTGATATTAAAAGGTATGAGCGTAGTTAAACGCGCTCCAATATTATGATTAAAAAGGACACGACAACCGTAATAATCTCAGTAACGTTATTTTATAAAAATATATATTATCTGTTTATATAAATGACAATGTGTAACTTCAAACAAAAAATAAAAGTGGCTTCGTTAGAATAACATATTTGTACTTAATACAATGATAGTCATGTGCAAATATCGCATGTAGTGGCGTATGTATGAGTATTTATAGTCATAAAATACGTAAAAAAATACTGTGTGAATTACCTATACCCACACGTATGATGTACGTTTCTAAGATTTGCAAAGCGTGATAAACAGTCATTCACCTTACATTACATTACAGAAAATTAAGAAATTTAAAATTGCTACGATTTTTCAACTTCGACTTGAGTCACGTGATCAGTTTGAAAAAATAAAATACGATATAAATTGACGATTTGAGTCAAGCGATCAAAATGTTAATACAATATTATATCTATATTTTTCAGAGATCTCCAAGGATTATGCTACATGTGTATGTGTATCAGCATGGCATTTGGGTTCCTTATGTTGGGGACATTGCAGCTCAGCCGATGGTACGACGGCGATCTATGCACCACTACTGGTAAGTAAGAGTGTAAAATTAAAAAAATAAGTTTACATTTCCTTAAATATTGGTAGGATAATCGTATTATATTGGTACAAATTAATTTGTAAAAGTAATTTTGACTATTACGTGGATGAAATCCGCTTTAGAAAATAATAAATATAAGACACTCTTATATTTAACTAGCGACAAGACCCGGTTTCACATGTTTTTTTTGTTTATTAAAATATAGATCGTGTTACTTGTTAATAATGTTATATTTCATATATAAAGGATTTTTTAAAATCTGTTAATTATTTTCTAAATTTGTTCACTACAAACAAAAATATTAAACAAACAGAAAATAATCTTTTGTCCTCTTTATTATCTTAATTTAGATTATTAACCATTTTAACAGGCAGTAAACTTTTTTACATCTCTGGGCATCTGCCATAATTGCAAATTTCTATCTATAGCCTTAAGTCCAGGGTAACAATTATGTATATATATTATATACATCAAAATACTAATTATATATTTCTTTAAAGCTTTCCTCATATACACATGGATGATGGCCACATTCTTCTGGATGAATGTCATCTGCGTGAACGTATATCGCACTGTCAAGTAAGTTATAATTCGTGTCAATTATCTTTAAAAAAAAAATCTATGGAATACGCAGGTTTTGCACAAAAAAAGGACATTGTGCATGTCATGTGATATTAAAATATTGTTCAAGTTATTAACCGGCACATCAATATGCATTGATAATTTAAGATTAACGATGAAACCCAGTCGAAATAAAAAAAAAAATCGGTCCAGAATAAAGGTTCAGATCAAAGAGATCAATTTCTTATAAAGTCAGAACCTTACATTATTGAAAGACTTCCCTTTAATTTTCGGAGACGATCTAATGTTAGTATAGAGTATAACTCTACAATTATCTGTATATGAATATTTAAAAATGAAAAGTTTGTGAAGATGTTTGGATGTTTGCTACTCATTCATGTTTAAACTGCTGAACGGATTGGAATGAAATTTGGAACACGGACAGGTTATATCCTAATTCAACACATAGGATACACACGGGAAACAGCTAGTAAATAATATTAGTGGGATAAATTCCTAGTAGTAGTACTGGTACTCCTGAGATCACAGGGTCTCTTCCAGGGACTTGTTGCACTATAAACAGCATCATAGACTATAGGCTAGATTGGCTGTTCTAACCACATTCTGATGCAGTATGACCCCATTGCGAGATTAAATGCGGGAATTCCCCAATAAAATATTTTTTGTACTATTATGGTACTACTATATGCCGTGTGGTTCCACTACAGAATAGCGACTAAGGAACTTAATGGTAGAGAGATGTGCAGCAGCGTCTCTCTTAAAACATCTCCAACGCCTGACGACAGTTACTTGGCAACACGCTTGCCAAGCGTGGCTACTACAACAAAATCCCACAATAGAGGGAGGCCTATGCGCAGCAGTGGACAATTAACGGCTGTTATGGTATGGTATACTACTATGGTGGCATACAAGCATACGGCTCATCTGATGGAAAACAGTTATCGTAATCTAAAAAAACCAACATAAGAAATAACACTATATACAGCAGTTTTATTGTATACTATGTGTACAGGGATCCCAGTTACTTAAAGAAGACGGAGAGGAAACAATACTTTTGGTACAGCTGCTACGCATGGGGCGGCACCATACTCTTCTTGCTGGTATCCGTTATAACAAATTTCGTCGAGGGCGACCATTGGAAACCAGGATTCAGTCGGAGCAGCTGTTGGTTCGCCGGTAAGTCGTTTCAAATTGAGCAATATTTTTAGTAAAGAACATCCACATGCCACTATAACCTAATATTTTGGTTTTTAAGAATGACAACGCATTATGATGCTCAGGTCTATAAACGATGGACGCTTTTTTGCTTTTTAAGTTTCATTAAAAATGTTCAATATGGATAATTTTATTTTTATTGCAATCGAATATTTATAAAAAAAATACCAAAATACATTTGCACTTGTCACGTTCTAGACTACTTGGGAATACTATTTGGTTACATAAATATATAAACATAAATAAATCTAGTTATCAATGATCAATAATTTCAGACTGTCTTTTACAATTTTCATCCAAATCAATAACCGTTAAAATGCACTTTAAATATTCGTTTCATATCAAATCAGTTTTGGATTTGATGTTTTAATAATTCTCTAACCTCAAATCTCTTTCGCTGCAACTATATAAAACTAAAAAAGTATTAATATTATGTATATATGACTGTACTACAGATATAATCTTTTTAATGACCATGTAATTTTAGACATAGTACATTAAAATAAATACGTATAATGTTAACAGGATAACTGTTTAGTTTCTTTCGGGTTTTTCTCAGCAGATAACATTTCGAACCCTGTAGTAAGTTCATAAAAATATGACGACTTAAAAGAGCTTGACAAGTCTATACGAATAAAGACAATTTAAATTTGAATATATTTTATTATTTTTATTACAGGACGAACAGAAACTTGGATATTCTTCTACGGACCTATCGCCGTTCTCATTACTGCCAATATAGTTTTGTTCCTACTATCATCCTATACTTTATGGCGGCACAATAATAAATATGAGGCGAACAAGTTAAATATACTTAAGCACAAGTAAGTGTTAAATGTTTTATTGTATAATCTGTTACAATACAATTTATATTTTATATTTATATTTTCATTAAATTCTATTGAATTTTAATAGGTATAATATTATTGTGTCAATATTGAATGACGACCAAATGTGATTCGCAGGTTTTTGCTGTCACTCAAGTTATTCCTTGTTATGGGTGTATCATGGATATTCGAGATAGTCAGTTTTGCCCATGGCGAAGAACACGTGTTATGGTAAGCATACCGTGTAATCACTTATTTGAACAGGTTAATTGCGTAGTCATATTAGTTGTGTGAATTTGGTCGGTTTGTGTCTTCGGTAAATAAGAGTACGAGTATTAATCATTTTTCTACGTATTAAAGAGGAATGTAACCCACAGATACATTAAGATTAAACAAACGTTGGTAGCGCGCAGAAATTCTTTTTTTTTTTATTTAGTTTGAAGTTGGACAATTGAGACTATGTTGCCTTACAGTCCACAATAATAAAATATGTAATCTAGTCTATTCTTTTAAATGTATTAATTACTATATTATATAATATAAAATTGTAGTGAATTTAAAAAAAAAAAAAACACAACTAGCGAATTTAGAAATTTTTTACTTATAGAAAGCCACAGTATCAGTGGGAAAAAAACATGGGCGGTTTTATTTTAAAAAATCGGGGGTGGCTCACTAATCAATAATAAGTCAAATATTTACTAATTAGATAAATATTAGATTTCTTATAACAGTAGATTAGGAGATAAGGCAATGGTTTGGCATCGTTAACGTTCATAATTGTTTCAGGAAAATCACGGATACGTTCAATTGTCTTCAAGGTTTTATAATATTCGTGCTATTGGTTGTATTGAGACGGAGGGCTATTCGCGGACTTGCCAGTGAAAACTGCTTTGTGTTTATTACTCGCCCACTGGCTGAAAAACTAAGTCCCAACGACGATGAGGATGACCAGCACATACTCGCCGACGACACGGTGGAAGTCAGGCTTAATTGATAGCCAGCCGATTGTTGTATTTTCTTAATATAAGGCTAGCATGTAAATTACAGGTATCGAACACCAAAAAAGAATCTCGAATTTATTTATAATTATGTACTTGTAATTAATTCTTAATTTAAGAATACTATCATCACCAATACCTACTCCCGTTATAAAAAAAAATGTGTGTGATACGGATTAAGGCCCACGTAGACGAAGTAACTTTTATACAAGAAAAAAATATCTTTATGTTAATAGTTTGTTGGATCAAATGTGTATTGCAAGTTATTTTAGAGTTTTTATCATGATAGTACTAAAATATATACTTATCCTGGATTGTCTTTCGGTGGCGTTAAAAGCGTGGTAACATAAGGCAAACATAAAGAGAAATTTTATAGGAAAAATATTCGTCGTCCACAGAAGTCACTAAATTTGCATGAATTATATTTTTATATTTCAAATATACAATTCTATTTGTATAATGAATGTGCCATAAGACTAGTTTTTAATTAAAATTAGTTTAATGTGATATTAATAATGTGTAAATCAAACATTACAATATATCAATATTAAAACGTTGTTTTTGTAAAAAACTTCGTATGGGTATGGCAGGGTATTTGTATGTCTATGTATATCATCAAAATAGATAACAATTGTATTGTATATACAATAATATACACATTCCATGAATAGTTTTGTTATCTGTTTTGTATTTAATAGAGGTAATGAGTAAGGGATGGAATGGTACACAATAGTTCATTTTTATCTTAATGGCTAGTTTCCGGCTTCAAATATTTGGGACACAGTCAATGTAGTGTTTATGGTAGTGAAACTAAATTAATGTGAAAAAAGAAATATAATTTCAATACTCGCTTAATAGGTACTGATATGACAGACTGCAATATACGTAATGTAAATTCAATTAAAACCCAATATAAGTTTATTTTTCTCTTTTTAAAAAAAATCATAATTTATGTAATGATATTTAAATTAAAATATGTACTAAACATTCCGTTATGTGAAAAAGTAACGTTTACCGAATGTAAATATTAGAATAACAATAATAATTTTAAATAATATTGTTTTGTATGTTCCTATAAGCGATTAAAGGCTACACACAAAGCATGTATTAAAATGATAGAAAATTACGAACTGTTTTTCTTTTACACCGTCCCATAGTACTTATTTTATAATAAGATTTTTGTCATCCTATCCGTGTTTTTCTCATCCTATAACTCAGGGTTATAGGATAAAAAAAAACACGTCAAAGGAAAGCCCAATCCCATAGTTATATCTACAAAGAAGCATGCTTGCATAAGACGGATTACAACAGTTACACCTACTCCAACTCTATATGTCAAGGAAATTGGACAATAGAAGACACTATGAAATTAGTTCATTACCTTTTGTCTACCTTTTAACAGCGTTATGTTTAAAATATTTAACGTAGTTCTGTGTTGCTAGGCTTACATGCAGTAAAACCATAAGAAAATAAATGATAATGAGATTGGTTAATAACACCATTTTAATTTTTTAGCATTAGATTATATTGCTAAATGTCTAGTAAACCCAGATTGAATGAGGTTTAGGTAATATTGTAAACTTATTTAAACTTGCGCTTATACTACACTTTTGCGTCATTATACAAGTGTGTAAAACCAGCATATCGCTCATATCTGTCAGTTATACCTGTACACTTGTCAAAGTCATTGTCAAGTTGGCATATCTATATAGGTAATGCCATGCCATTTCATTCATCATTTTGTTTGAGTCATTTCTTTCTATTCAAATCAATTCAATACTAACTAATACTTAAAGGTAAATTAAATCACGTATCCGCTGACCGACATTGTTTATTTTAGAGGTAGTACATCTTTCTAACAATATTTTTTTGGAAAAAGCCAAAAGTATCGTACACAAATAACAATAACAATAGTGTTCAGTGATAGCTTTACAAAATATGCGTGCCTTGTTAGTTGCACCGGCGGCAAATTTACGCTGTTATTTGTGATAATAAATAGTGATTCTTCAAAGATGAATTTTATAATTTTATATTTGATGTTAATAACATCAATGTCGCTCGGCGATGTCGGCGAACAAGATCTTAATGAAATATCAGAAGAAGCGAATGCAGTTATAATAAATAAATGTTGTGAAGAAAACGAGATCATGGTCGATTCCGGATGCAGATTAGCTGAAATAGTCAACCAAAGTAAGTAGCTTAGTTGTGAGTTAGTGCCTATTGTTAAAAATACAAAAGCATAGCAACTAAAATGTTATAAATTGTAAATATATTATGTAAGTACCTATATAAGTGCAATATAAAAAGTTTTTTTGTTTTGTACAATATCTAAATACCTATTTACTTATCTAGTATTAGAGTCACTTATGTATTTATCTCTGTATTTGTTTAAAAATAAGTTTATTGTTGACTAAAGATATGTTAAGTGCCACTAGTTATCATGAATTTGTATGTTGTACAAACACGAAAAGCTTATTTAGTTTTCATAATGTCTATATCCAATGTATACTCTAATGTTTGACAGACTGTAAATAACAAATAATGGGCTAAATGAAATATGACTAAAATACATGCTTATGTATATTCATAGTAACTAATACATAGAAATACTTTTAATCCCAATTAATATAGACAAAACTACTACTAAATTATTTACAAATTTTGCCTTTAGTGAGGCTTCAGAACCTGAGATCTCATTTGTACAAATCACATTGTACAAATGAGATCTCAGGTTCTGCAAGCCGATCCAGGAAACAAACATTTCTAAAAATTTTTACTGGATGTCATTGGAATGGTAACCCAGCTTGCACTAATAATATATACTGGTGGGGCACCAGTGAGAGAAGATAGGTGAGAATGACAGGTCAGTTGGACCATCGTGATTTATTCACCAGGAATTAACTATAATAGTTTCCACAGAGGACTGCATGGTGGTCAACCTTACAGGGTATATTATTAACAATAAGGATTAACTTCCTCATTACTAACAATCACTTCTTCTACCTTAATTTTCTGAACTCGGTTCTGAATGTTCTCAGTTGTGCTTACAGATGTTTATTGACTGGTTTTTCAAACATCATACCCTAACATGAAGACTACACAATCAATGTGATTGTGTAACATCTTTGATTATTATATTTTATATAAAAAAAAACAACTTTTCATGTTTATTTCAGCATTGTGGAAACCTCAATTTAAAACAGAAGATGGTAAAGATGTTGATGTGAAATATTTCCGTTATGTACATGGTGTGCCAGATTGTGAAACAACAGAAATGAGAGGAATATTCCAGTTTGGAAAGTCAGAGGATGAGTATGTTAATTTTTAAGTGTACTTTTATAATATTTGTACAACAAACATAAGAATAATAAAAGATGTCAATGCTAAGCAATAGTATTATAATTGTTAATTGAGTAAATTATGCAGAAAAATTCAAATGAGGACATTTTCTGCATAATCTGCTCCAAATATATAAGTCATAAATTTGATTATGTGTTTACAAAAATTTACTGATTATAGGAAGTATTACAGAGCATAGGAGTTTAGATTTATATATATATTTCAGTACATATATTATAGCATCTGGTAGGTAATTTAAAATTATAATTACAATACTTTACACAAGTTATCTGATATAAACACTTGAAAATATACCTTAATTTCATTATTATTATCCAAGAATTAATTAAGTTTGTATAAACATCAGTTAAGGAGCCAAACTAACATTTTTTTTAGTGTCAATTAAGGCGATATGATATTATGTCTGGTGGAATTGTCTCATAAATTCTTATCGATATAACATATATTCCTTCCATATTATTTGATACTATATATCATATATTTTAACTATATCACTTTCTAGTTCTTGCATTGTATGTATTAGGTCATTATATTATAGGATTATAAAGCTAAGTTTAATATTATAAATATAATTTTAACTACATAAAACAAAAATTTATATGTTTTTGTATTTTGCAATATGATAAGTATCATAGTTTAAAATTAGGAAATTCTTAAATTTGAAGCCTTTGTTTATTAGTAACAAGATGGTTTGTTATCTAATTGCCAATTTACTTCCTAATATGATTCCTATTTAAATTTTAATGAAAATCTCTATCATTATTTAATTTAATGCTTTTTTTAGTAGTCAAAAGAGAATTTAATTTTCTAGGTTAAATCTACTATCAGATGGTCGATTACGCCACCTAATCCATCATGAACACAGCTCTGACAGCATTAAAGAGGATACATTAATGATCAACACATTTAGTATCCACGATCCTATTGTTATACCAGAAGAGAAGGAACCTACATCTTTCATTCATGTTCAAAATAAATATTGTATGGATAAAGTAAGTATTGATATTATTTATTATAATATTATTTTTACTTATTATAGTACCTTTTTAATTATTAAATATTAACAGAGGAAGACTTTGTACAAAAGTTGTTTGCTTGGGTACCTCTGTCCCATTCATGTTTCAACCGTAAAGCAGTTGTGTTTGCATGGCTGTGTTTCGGTTTGAAGGGTGGGATATGACGTGAATTTACAGGGTACAGAGGCTTAACATCTTAAGTCTTCAGGAATGGCGACGCATGGGGGTATCATGCGCGAAACGGTATATTCTGTTATAGCTATGATACAAGTACTGTTCATGTATATAGATAGACGACGGTTACCACTTTTCATCAGGTGAGCCGTCAGCTAGTTTGCCATTCTAAGTTGTATAAAAAAAAGTCCTCAATATGAAATATAAGCTTAGAATTGACAAGAAAATTTACTATTACTCTTTTTTTGACATGAACATTTAAACATTTTAATTTACCAACTTTAAATTAGATCTTAAATTACCAACTTTCAGATCTTAATGGCAAATACAAATGAGACAGGTGAATATGCTGTTGTTTGCATACCAGAAGTAAAAATTAATTGGAGAGATACAAGTTTTCTAATGAAGAAAATACTGAATCCACTATTCCATGCAATTGCAATGGTACTATTCCTTATAGTGGCTATAATTTACTTTGTATTGCCCACACTGAGAGATTTGGCAGGAAATATTATCACGACAATAAACGTGTGTCTAATAGTAAGTCAAGCAGCTGATCTAGTAAGAATATTTACTGAATTCAGTAACCACGTCAGTTTTATGATCACTGGTGAGTTAAACTTTTTTTTAATCATTTTAAAATTTTTCACATATTATGAAAACTTCATTATCTTAACTATTTATAATAATATTTTAACACTTGAACTTTGTTTCAGTCTTTATTAAAGTGTTTTTATTTTAATTTACTTGTATACAAAATACGTAATGTATGTAATATAATGTAAATAAAAATGTATTACTTGCAAGGTTGATACTTAAGTTTAAAATATTTCAATATGTATTTTCTTTCAGATATAATTTTATATATCAGTCTATTGGGCGCTTTCTTTTGGTTGAACAGTTTTGGATTTTATGTTTGGAAAACCTTCAAGTAAGTATTTTATTTAAACAACATAAAGTTATTTTTAATTTGTTATCTTTGTAATAAGAAATAACAAAAATGTTATATTTGTCAGCTTATTTGTCTAGTAGCTTAACACGTCTCTTTACCTTCAGAAGGTGGCGGGTTTAATTCCAGCATAATATATATATATATATATATATATATATATATATATATATATATATATATACTCATGACTGTTTGTATTGATCTGGGTGTTTTCTATCTATAATATGGATTTATTATTATTATTTAATGCAACTTAAAATAGCAAGCTGACGGTTCACCTTTGTATTTAGCTTTATGTATTTTTTTAATCATTTATGTTATCTCGTTTTTTTTGTATATCTATGTTGTAATTTGTATGCTGTAAGTAAGTAATGCAAATAAATTATCTATCTATCACCTGATAGAAAGTGGCAACCATCCCCTATAGGCATGAGTAATACCATATACATAACAGAGTATACTGTTTCCGTCATGATACATCCCATGCGTTGCCATTCCTAAGGACTCAGGTGTTATGCCGCTATACTTTGTAAATTCAGAGACTGAGTGTAATATACTCAATGGTATTTATTTATTTATGTTGTTCTTTCAGATCTAGAAATGTCTTCCTCAGAGTCACAGATGTGCGCAAATATTGTTACTACTCCAGTGTAGTGTGGTCCAGTGTCACAGTCATGGCCGCAATGGCTATTTGTGCCCATTTTCTGCTGGATACTGGTACAAATCCAAACAGGAAAATGCGAACACAGTTCTCATCGTCAATTCTTGTTGACGATGCTGAACAAGAAACTATTGGTATGTTGTCTTTGTTATTCTTATTGTCGTGTTATTCGACTCATTTGTATTCTTAACATAAGTATGATTGTATGATGGCTAGTATGATTATAAGAAATTGGTGATATATAATATAGCTTAAATGGTTAAACAGATTTGGATGAAATATAGTAAGCTGATAAATCTCATGCCCTAGATTATCATATAGAATAATTTACAATCAGTTTTTATAACAAACTTGGTTTGTTTTTAATATTAATTTAATTATTAAAAATACATTCATTTTTGTACATATAATGTTGGTTAAAATAACTTTGATAATTAGAATTAATATTCATATAATATAGTTTCTTTTTCTTTTCAGGATGGCTTGGTATCGCAATTTTTTTCACTCCAGTTGCATTTACAATTATTTTTAATATTTTCTTTTATATAACAACATTAAAAGTTATAAAAAGGATAAATATCTATGGCCGGATTCATCACAAACTGAAAGGATGGTATGTATGAATATAATCGCATAGTAGTTTGATCAGTAATCTATATCATCATATACAGTAACAATACGAATTTTTTAGAAATTAATTATGTGTAAAACTTCTGTTGTTTACCATACACCTGTAACTGTTAAACCGTGCTGATCACAATTCTTCATAATAATTACGTATGCACAGTATGTAAATAATTTTTTTATATATCCTATCCTTATTAATCTTAAATGTAAAAATGAGTTTATTTATTACCTGTGTTAGCAAGGTAATACATTAACGGCTTAAATAATTACTATGAAATTTTATATACACATACTATATGATCCCGGTGACGAGGATGGGTAAAAACTAGTTAATATAAATAATGTAAACGTTAATAAGGATATATTTTTGTTACTTTTTTACACAAAAACTACTAAACAGACTTGAATGAAATTGGGTACGTAGGTAGGATTAAATCCTTACTTAGCACATAGGATACTATATGTACTGATTTACGCGGACAAAACTGCGGGATACAGCTAAAACTCATGTTCATATTTACATTTCAGTTTCAATTTGTTCCTGCAATTGTTCCTGATCATGACGACTGCTTGGCTATTTCTCCTTCTCTCTTGGCTCAATTTTGATGGATTAATATACGCTCACATAGTTGTCAATATACTTCAAGCAATCCTCGTGTTCTACGTGTGTGTTGTACGACAATCGCACGTCACATTTCTCTTAAGAAAGAGCTGTTGCTACGCGGAACCAATACCCACCGGTGAGTGGGGTGACGAGATGACGCATATGAATGGTGGTAATTACTAATTAAAAAGTCTGAATAGGTTGTAAAAGTGGATTATGGGCATAGAACCGTATGACAGTAGGACAGATTTACTCGGTCACAATTTTTAACGCTCTTATATTCAGGGTTGTGTTGTCATGAGTAAAAAGTATTTACTTTATCATTGGTAAAATATCAATAGCGCCTATTTTTTTTTATTTTTAATAAATAATTTCTTAAGCATGAAGAAATAAGCTATGAGGTTATACAAATTACAAATATGAGTAATTTAATATAACAAATTTGTTATTAAAATGTAATATTCTCTACTGGAATTATTCATTAGAAATTATGATAAGTAAATTAATTTTCGACTTTTTTTTAATATCATGACATTACTAGTAGTTTGCCCATAACTTCTTATTCATTCATTAAACGTGGTTATGATTTGGCGAAAGGTGCTGTAGTGATATTATACATAGTTAATGTACAAACAAATGCAGCTTCGCTTGCATCAATCACTTTATCCATAGTAAAAAATAATATCTTTTTATGGATGTTTTATTACTTTGAAATATCAATGATGATTTTGAAACGGGAATTTAGATATTAATAATAATCTTCGATTTTATAATTAAGTACTTAACATTTTTACAAAATCATATAACGCAAACTTGTTTTAATATTATTATGTACAAGTATAAATATGTATATAGCTAGAAATAAGGTTTATATACAGCTCACAGCGACTTCACCAGTTTTTACACGTTCCTAGTGTTATTTCAATTTAAACCATACTCATTTAAGACTGTAAAATTGAATCTCATTGTGGCCCAGTTAAACAAGCACTGACAAAAATTTTAAGCTTTATAAAGTTTTTATTGACAAATTATTTCTGTGATGTTCAGCTTAAGAATAAGTGTCTTACATAAAACTTGTGCCTTTTACAAGTGTCTCGAAATTAGGTACCAAGTAAAATGAATTAAATTTATTCATAAGGGTAATATTAAAAATTAAGATTGTACGGCTTTTTTGCCGCTAATATTATAATTGCCATAACTAAATCGGAATGCTCATAAAGATACTTAATTTTGGTGTTGTTAATCAAATAACTATTATCATAGGATTTATTGATAATATCCAATTAAATTGGTTTAACATGACAAGAAAGAGAATTTATTATTTTATTGTTATTATGCACCTAATGGCACAAATGATAACAAAATTATGTTATCGGTAATATGCATAATCAAACTATTTTGTTTATTAAATACACGACACACACTAAAGTCCATTCTAAAGGGCAATTCTCAATCTCTGAAATATTACTGTTTGATGTTACAGTGAAATTATTTAACTAAGGAACACTAATAAATAATATTTGAGTCAGAAATATTAAATAAATTTGTCCTGGAAATCTGTAGCACAATACTTTCATACGCTTTAGAACCTACCTCTAGTTCTCTTATCTTATGATCTGGATCATGTAATTGAATTTTTATTTGTGTATATTGCCGATGACTTGATTACGATGATATACTAATATATTATACATACTCAATTTTCTAAGGCAGCTCTTATTCATATCATATATTATATTAACTATACAATAATTGTACAAGTATTATAGAAGATAATGTTCATTTATAGCCAGAGTTCTGGTCTTACTATGAATTAATGCAAATATAAAGTTGACAAATGTCACACATATTAATCGATTTTTTATAATAATATAATATAATCAAGTAATGAAATAAAATCACAGATTTTAGCGTTAACAAATAATTATTCAGAATATGTATTGTAGTAGTGATTCTAAAATTCTGTTCTCTCTAAAAATATCTCTTAAATTAGTGAATTTTTGAGAAGTTTAATGAATAACATTTTGTAATTTGGTCCCTTTGTAGTAAGAATTTCGATACAAATAAAATCCGTCCTGTTAAATATAAAATAGTGGCTAGTGATTATTAACAAGTTAATTAACATATAATATGCTCTCTGAATATTGACTTACTGTTTTAAATTGTACATTTCACAATTCACACGCCAATATCACCTGCTATTTCAAGTACCTAGTAAACTTATGAGTGAAGCATTTATTGTTTATGACTTTTTATTCTAATGTTTTATTACAATAAACCATTTGGGTATATGTCTGTCTTTTTTTTTTATTATATGAATTATCCTTTATAGCTTATGCGATGTACGATTAATATACTTTATATCTATATCTTTATTCACCTCAAAATGTTTGCAATAGCGGAAAATTGTTTGTTATTTGCTATCAAACATAATTTTTGAGGTCGACTTGATGGGGTATATTCATAGCAATAGGGATTAACCTCCTCATTACTAACAATCCCCCCTATCTAATATTAGAATGTCATTTTGGTTAAATCCGTTAAGAGTGTGTCGTACTATTGTTGTCATATCCTCAGGAATGGCAACGCATGGGGGGTATCATGGGCGAAACAGTATAATACTCTGGTATGTCCATGGTACTGCTCATGTCTATAGGCGACAGTTACCACTTTCTATCAGGTGGGCCGTCAGCTTGTTTGCCATTCTAAGTTGTATAAAAAAAAAAGACTCGTAATATGAGCTTGCTAATGCCATAATGATAAAGTATGTACACAATGTATATTATAGATCATTCCGGTTTTTTAAACTGCATTAAATACTATTTTGGCCCTCTTTAACGAGGGAAAATGCATCACGAAATTCACAAGTCCTGATTTTTCATTAATCCTATAATGCCTCTTTTACATGTCTGCACCCCCGAATACCACCCGGCTATCCTCCCTCCTAAGGCCAGTATAGAATATAAATAAAAATTATACAGATAGAGATAATTAGAGAATAGAGATTTTAGCTTTGGGGTTTCTCTTATACGAATATATGGTGCTTTGTTCTCTTTTTTCAACATAGCACATAAATATGTGCTGTTTTTACAGTAACATATCATTTATCTAAGTCACACGGTACGGTAGTAACCTGTCTGCTTAAATCGACTTATTCTGCCAAACTTATCAAACGTTACGATACAGTTCCTCAGTATAAACTTATCCCGTTATTCATAAAAACTAAAATCTCCTACAAACTTATTTTAACTATTACACTGTTTTGTCGCTTTCTTTCTAATTGAGCATTAGTATTAGGAAAGGAGATATAAAACAGTTCAATAGCTTTTATAAATAAAGGCGTTAGCTTAAATATACAATTTAGACGAGAAAAAAGTATTCCGAGGACTGTTCCGCATATGAGCAAGCTATCTTATGCTAAAATACTCACCTGCGTGAACAGTTGCCCTTCTGGTCTTCTAGATAGAGACGCCAATTGACAGCGCACCACTAAATGGCAGTCGTCCATAACGGTGTTGAAGAAACGACGCGTGGGCAATAGCGCCTCTAAATCTATCATCAGTTCTAGAAACCGCTCACAGTATCTGTTAAGGGAAAATAGTTTTAAAGTTTTAGCTTTCTAGTTTTTATGAAGTGGACTGTCAGTTCGTTCGGCACTTAAGGCAGAATAAAAATGCTTGAATTTTTTTTATACAACTTAGAATGGCAAACAAGCGGACGGCCCACCTGATAGAAAGCGGTAACCGTCGCCTATAGACATCTGAAAATCAAAGCCTTAGGAAAGGTCTAGCTCTAATAAGATAATTTTATTTGTATGAGCAGAAAAAAATTTAAATATCACTTTTGTCAAACATGATTTTTACTCTATTTGACAATGTTTTTCCATATATATTCTATATCTTCACCAATTCCACTGATTTTGATAATCTTTTAATTACTTATTAATAACTAGCGACCCGGCCAGGTTCAGATGGGTTAATAGAGTTTTCAAAAATAATATACAGCCTATGTTATTCATTCATAATGTAGCATTCTATAGGTAAAATTATTTTTAAAATCAGTTCTATAATTTTGAGTTTATCCATTACCAACAAAATAAAAACAAATCTTTTTATAATATTAGTATAGATAGCAAATAATTATTTATTTTCTTCTGTCTCTTATATTATTACATTTTAATGTTTTTTGAAACAACACAAACATTATATGAGAAATTTTCTGTCACTTTCATTTAAAATGAGAATATAGAACAAAAGAAAGAGACAATACGATTCAATATCTAAAATATGTTTATGAGAGGTTTGATGTTTTTATGAATCCTTATTCAAAAACTATTACTGTAAACTATAACTATACCAGTACTTCAAGACAACTTAAGATACATGAAAACTATTCTCATCAAAAATGAAATTAAGGAAATGTCTCCTTGATGTATTTTACTTCTCTTACCTGATAACATTTGGATCCACATCTCCCGTTTCGGGTATGCTCTCTAAAATTCCCATGAATTTTATCATCAGTTTTTGCAAATAGCGGCGTTCCCAATTTAATTTCTCTAACAACTCTGGCTTATCTTTCTTCTGAATTGCTTTCCAATACTTCCGCCATTTTGGTACTATTTTAAATTCTTGATTTCTACGCCCTTTAACAAATTTAATAGTTATAAATGTTAGAACAATGAGTTATTCAGAGTAAGTAACTTAGCCTCAAGCAAACTCAGGCATTCTATTGTACATGTATACAATTACTAACTTTTACCCTTCGCGACAACTGCAGTTAGGCTTTGGATATGTTTTATGACACCCACGGGAAAGGAAGGAGTGGGCTATGCTATATTAGGACCACACGGCAGAGGCCTCATTGCTAGCAATTAATAATATATCAAGTCGACCTCCACACGCTCCCCCTGTCGTAAGTTCGTGATTAATTCATCACAAGCTAACTGACCTCACTTCGTCGTAACTTATCATCACTTACTAGCATATACTGATACCGCAGGCGGGGTTACCATTTCACTTTTATTACTATTTAAAAAACAGTACCAAGTGAGTACCAACCTTCCTGAAGACTGATCCACATGCTCAGCGAGACAAGCCGCTTGACCTGGTCTCTGCACAGCTGCACTTCCATACTCCCGAAGCAGTGATTCAGGAACAGCAGAAGCGCGGTCTGCTCCCGCATGTTCCGGCTCGAGTGGTCATCCGCGACACTCGCACGTAATACTTGCTCAAAAAATGCCGGGAAGTGATCTGGTTTCTTTAAAAACGCCTGAAATGTAATTTGAAATCATTTAATATGGTTGTTCGAATTTAGAACGATATGAAAATTGTTTTTAACTGTAATAATAAATGAATTAATTTATATTTTAGTCAAGACTGCTTGACTACTTCTGGGACCATCCGGGATCCTTAATCATAAGCGACCATGACGTGAGCGTGAGTTATTCTTACAGTTAAAATATAATATGTACTTATTAGACAATTCTTCTATTATTATTTTTTCCTTTCAGATGTGATTAGATTATGCAATATTATTTTTACAACGATTTACTTCCGTATAGCCACCGCACTATGTACGATATCGTTTATATCTATAGGCGTACGTTTACCACTTTCCATCAGGTGGGCTCTCAGTCCGATTGGCATTTCAAGTTGCATTAAAAACTAATATTCAGCATCATACAACATCGATCAATGACAGTTGGCCAGCGCAGGCTGTTATAATCAGTTATTCATGTAACGTCTTCAAATTTTATATGAATAATTGATGATGGCAACATACCATACATACAACCACTACGGTGGCCAACTGCCGTCAATATCAATATTGAATGTCTTCGTCCCCAGGTCGGGAAAATAAAACACAAACCTGCCACGCTGGTACACGCTCCCTGAACTTCTCGTTGATCATGACGATTATAGACATCATATGAGAATGTGACGCTTTGCCCGCCTCGTAGTACGGCCATAAGTAACTCTCTAGATACTGCGAGAATTCCAGCATCATGATACGTCGTACTGAGAAACTGGAAATTATAATTTATTAGTTATTTTTTGCAACTTTGTTCAAGTGAATTATATACTATATGTATCTATCTATTTATCCTATTTAAGAGCTGCGCTCTTGTCGGTGGAGCTCTTGCCTTTCACTACGATTCTCAGCGAGTCTCTTCACCTCTTGATACGACACGACACCAACTCCTACCTTGATCTGCCTGATGTAACTATGTAAAGTCTCCTAATTAACACGTTAGGATATAACCTACCCGTACATAAAATTTCATTAAAATTTGTTCATCTGTTTAGACGTGATTAAGTAACAAATATACAAACATCTTTTCAAACTATTAAATTTAAAATATTAATAGGATAAATTTATGACGATGCCCTTTGCGATTTAACATACTACCTCAACTTCTATCGGTCGCGGGTTTGCACTTTACGCTTTATATATACTATTTTTAACGGTGAGGGTGTTTTTTATATGTGTATGGGTGTACGTATGTACAAAAAAAAGTAAGTTATATTGTACCCATGGTAAAAGCTTTAGTTTGGGACTAGACGACGTTGTATGACATAATATATCCTGTGGTATCTATTATTTAATTATTTCTCTCTACTTTGTATGCGTAGATTTTAGAAGTAGAAAAATCAATATAATAGACTATTTCTAGATGGCGTATCTAGATGAAACATACACCAGATTTCACATTAGAACTTCAGGAATACGACTGTGAAAACTGCAACCTATTTGATGCTGTAGTTTTTGTGTAATGCTAGAACACCCATATAGACAGACAGATAAAATATCTAAAAGTTACTATTTTAGCGTCTTTTACTCATATTAAGACCCCTAATATCATTTTTTCTTAATTATCTCTCATGTCCAAATACAGTTTATTTTTTTTTTTTATATTAGTAAGACACTGGCTGTAGTTTGCAGCCTACCCTGCATGAAATAAAATAAAAATGCTCACTATCAAATAATCTTAAATATCAAACAGAGCCCTTTATTAGAACGATAAGGGCAAAGGATACGTATATACGTAAGATAAATAATGTCCTATAACATAATGATTTAGATATAATGTAAATTTAATGATATAAACACCTTTTAGGTTATTTATACATTTTCATTTTGTTATTCAAAAATATTAATAGATCTATTTCATCACAAATATCAAATAATAATTTAATAACAATCATATTATATTAAAAAAAATTAACATTCTAATTAACCTTTTTTACCATTTTATAACAATATATTTATTTTAGTTATAAATATTAAAAAATACCAAATAGCAGCATTATTACAAATAAAATGTGGGAACACTAAAAAAGACTTACAACTGGCAAAATTCCGAAAAATAAATAGGTCAATGCACCCAATCTATGAGGCTGTTGACCTTAATGTATTCATTTGTTTCTATCACTTAGGCCTAAGTGTTTCATAAAACAAAATTTTTAATAAAAATTAGAAAATATTAGATTACTTACTTGGATCCAAGAATTTCTGTGTGATAAATTGATTCCACAATAGAGGCATCATAAGGTAAGTGGTTTTCTTTAGTTTGTGGTGACCAGTACTGAGAAGCAAGCTGGAAACAATATGGCCATGTTAATTCAATGAGGATAGTTATATAGATTTTTATAGCAAAGTACCAGTAGGCTTACTTTTGACCTATATATAGCCAATATTAAACGATTAGTTAACTAGATGGCTAAAATATGTATTTAAAATTTTCTGGATTGACTTTTATGTATTTTTATCGAAGATATTCGACTAATTAGTTAATACACATATAACAATCCAGTTAAGTTTATAATTAAATATAATGAATAAACTTAAGAATGAATAGCACTATAGACATACAATTATAGAATACACATCACAGTTTATTCTGTGGTCCCCTGTACCCCTCATATATTGCCATTCCTGACGACTACAGTGTTGTGCCTTTGCACCTGGTAATTTTATTGCTATAACCCGTAAAAACGAAAGACAGTCATGCAATAATTGTGATTGTATCATGACAGAGTAAAGACTGGAACAGAACTCCATCCTACCCATATTTCAAGTTACCACTCAAGTTTCACTCATGTACCCAAGCAGATGACTTTTAACAACTTTTGATATTATTTTTTGTCAGAATGCAAATATACTCTGCTGCAGTTTTATTTTATTATAAAAAAATTATGCTTAATTTGTTTTTTTTTTTAATTATTAATACTATATTGTCAAAGATGTAACATGCTTTAGATCATAACAAACATTCACTATTAGCTTTTCTTATTCTGTGCAATGGATGCCAATTTATATAAATTAAAATAAAAATAATCAACAATGGTCTGATAACTAACGATCCTAGAAACATTGTGTATATCTACATCCCTTGCTGGACTTTATATTCTAGAAGTAAAATTTTACAATGTTAAGTATAGCAAAAACAGGGCAGGTCATACAATTTACATAATAGACTTGTAGAAGACAAAGAATTTTCACCTCTAAATATTAACTGATTATGGTTAATATTGAATATCTTTATTTTATATATTTATAAGGAAACTTGTAAAAAGGTATATTATAAAACTAGTACAATTTTATTGACCAAGTTAGATTAAATTATTAATTTTATATTTATATATAATTATTATTTCATAATCATGCAAAATGTACATAATATGCCTCTCTAGTTTGATAGTACCAGAGGGAAACTTTGTACAAAAGTCATTTGCTTGTGTTTCGGTTTGAAGGGTTGGATATGGCATTAAATTTACAGGCTACAGAGGTATAACACCTAAGTCCTCAGGAATGGCATTGCATGGCAATGTATCATGGGCGAAACAGTATAGTCTGTTATGTCCATGGTGCTACTCATGTCTATAGGCGATGGTTACTACTTCCATTAGGTGGGGCATCAGCTTGTTTGCCATTCTAAATTGAATAAAAAAAAAGACACTCTATATTTAGATAATTTTTTTATTATACCACCTCCCATTTGTGTAAATGTCTAAAAATTAGAATAGGTAAATTTATAGATATCTAGGTCATTAGAGAAAAAATATACAATAAGTTTTGCATTATGCATTTTTTTTTATTCAACTTAGAATGGCAAACAAGCTGACGGCCTACGGCAAAGTAGTAACCATCGCCTATAGACATGAGCAGCTAATGTGCATATCATCATAGTCCTAGAATACTGACGGATCTGAGAAATATTAAATATATAGATCCGTCAGTATTCTACGACTATGATGATATAATTATCACTAATGCTGATTTAAAAATATTATTGTTTGTTGTTATACTCGTATACTTGTCAATTCAAAGATGTTTAACAGTATTTAACCAACCAGTATTAGTATTAAAATTATTTAATACAAAAATATCATGTATAGCATCATCCTTAAGTCACTTAAGAGATTCGAATGAATAGTTTAATGAATACTATTTCACACTAAAACAAGTTTTCTCAAATTAAATACAATAACAAACAAAGAAATAATTATTACTCTAATAATGTAAATATTAGTTGAATTTAACAATCAGATATATACGAGGTCTGTCCGGAAAGTTCGTATAAAAGTGTTCTGGAATGCGAGAAAGAGGAGTGGGGAGGCCAGGTAAGCGCAGGACCCCTTCCTTATGTCCCTAACAATGCTTCAGTTCTGGTCTGACCGCCGTGCGGTGCGAACTGGCTTGTCACGCCATCTGTGAAGTTACCTCTTAACGAAACCCCGTCGGCATGGAGCCCGCTTCCGTTGAAGAGCAGCGCGTCGTAATCAAGTTTCTCTCGAAACTCGGCAAGAATGGCCGTGAAATTTTTGCCGATCTCAGAACAGTTTATGGGGATGATGCTGTGAAGGAACCAACCGTCCACAAGTGGCTAAAAAGATTCAGAGAGGGCCGAGAAAGCGTTCAAGATGACCCACGTTCAGGACGTCCTTCCACTTCACATTCCGACGAAAACGTGGAAAGAATTCGAACTTGTGTTAATGGGGACCGTCGTTTAACGGTCAGACAGGTGGCTGAAGAGCTTAATTTGGGCATAACCGTGGTCCACGAAATTCTAAGAAACGAACTTCAAATGAAAAAAATTTGCGCCAAGATCGATCTCTTGTTGTCCGTGAGTTTTTGAGTAAAAATTCCATTACGGTGACCGAACACCCCCCCTATTCGCCGGATTTAGCCCCGTGTGACTTCTTCTTGTTCCCAAAAACCAAATTGGTACTTCGGGGGCGGCATTTGGGGGACATAAATGAGATAAAAAAAGCTACGACGGGGCAGCTGAGAAACCTACAACCAGAGGACTTTCAAGGAGCCTTCTCACAGTGGAAACGGCGTTGGCACAAGTGCATTATGTCACAGGGGGAGTACTTTGAAGGGGATAAAATTGATTTACCTGAATAATTGTAAAATAAAATTTTTAAAAAACTTTTATACGTACTTTTCCGGACAAACCTCGTATGATATATTATTGAGATATATTAGCTAAAATTGTATTTTAAAATTTCAGAATTTTAATATTTGAGATTACGACGCATTACGGATATTAGTAATTATTAAGAAACAAATAAAAATTATATATAGATATATACCTAGTGATAGAAAAATAAATTATTTATTTACATATTCTTCACAATCCAACAATAAAATATTAATATCTAAAAAAGAACAAAGAGAAGCAGGTATATAAGTATGAAAAACAAAATTAATAGTAAAATAAATTACTTTCAAAGATATCAATAATTGCGTAGATTTATGTCTGTTATTTGTTTACAGTACTATGTATTAATCAGGTATTTAGTACTTTCTATGCATTTTACGATATTAAAATAATAAGGTAATGCTTTGAATTATTGTAATCTAGTATAAATATAATATTAAAAGTTACATATAATATTAAAATTAAAATAACAGGCGATGTTTGTTAATATTGTGAAATTGATTATAACCTAAGTTACCTGTGTAATTATGTCTGCATTAATCTGCGAAAGCGTTGGTAAAGGTATTTTAGGTTTCTCTCCTGATGAAGCATTGTCAGTTTTCATTTTTGTGTTTCAAAAAAGCCTAAAATAGTGATTTTAATATCAAAATATAGATGCGGCTAAACAATAACACAGTAAATGTCAATTTCACGCTGATGTCTTACAGACTGCGCGGAAGTTGTCAAATTGACACATATAATGCTTTTCATAGATAAAGAACACTTTTTGTACGTAATGGATGAAAATGGAATAATAACTCCGTCTACATTATAGATCCATGCCGGCAGGACACTAGTGAAGAATAGTAGGTGAGAAAGAAGTCAAACTGGTTGGTCTATTGCAACAAATTAACTATGAATTAAACACGTGCAGAGGTGGACCTGACTTTATTTGTATAGAATGTATCATTATTGTATAGAATGAATCAATCTCACAATATGAAAATAATACATTTCAATAGCATTTACTCTCATGAAATAAACGCTTTCTTTATGTCACGTACAACGCTCCTTCCTATGCAAAGTAATTCAACAAAATACCTTCTTATTTTACTGATTTGTTTAATACGCACACTTAATTATAAATAATTTATTGTTTCATTTTGCACTTATCTTAACAGCGTCGCATATGTTCTGTGGGCCCCTAAGTTACCTTTATGATTAAAGCCCTATTTTACACATTAAAAAAAAAACATTATTATATTTCAAATTTTAATACTTAGAATTACAAATAAATTTTATTACTATTAAATTTTTATTCATTTTATCAGGTACCTATACATTAATAAAAATGTAATTAAATTGATGAGAGAAAATAGAACTATTGCATTATTTAATATTATCTATTATGGCTTTGGTGAAGCTTTAAAAAGGTTATTTTGGACCATTAAATTCCCTTAGTCACCTCTTACGACACTCACGGGAAAGGGAGGAGTAGTCTATTTTTTCCGAGACCACACGGCCACGACCGCGACACGGGCACATAAAATAGCTAAGGGGAATCTCCAGCCTTGGCAAAAGTGTTGCTAATAATAAAATTTCAGCACACGTTGGTAGTAATTTAAGTCTCCATTTTTCCGTTTATCTAATGTATTACCAATTCTCCTCATCTGTGGCAAAAGTCTATTTGTGGTGGCGACCCCTTTGTAGTAGAGACCCTCAGCTTATAGCTCATGTAGCCAAGGCTAAAATGTGATGCTTTGCCTCAACATGTAAAGATTTCAAAATCTGAGTTAGGAACAGTATAGAAACAAAAATATTTTTTTTCTTTATTGCTTGGCTGGCTGACTAAATGCCTTTAAAACTTGATGTTATTGGGGAAAGAAGCATAAAACGGGAAAGATTATAAACCAAAACGGCTAGATTCGTGTTGGAAGTTCACAGAATTATCTCTACTAAATACCCTGTTGGTATAAATAAAGCAGATGATTCTTTCTTATGTTGTGAGAATAGATAAAATAGGCGAGGAAATGAAATTCTACTACATCGATACATCTTTATAATAGTTCAGGAGTTTTTTCTTTAATAATACTTGTAGCTTGTTAATTTTCATATTCATCGACATCAAGAGACATCGTACTGAAAAGAGCATCCTAAAGATGCGAGCAGTGCTCCACACATGACCCTATGTATACTTAATACATTAAATGGGTGATACATAATTTTTTTTAGGTGTAAAAATGATGTTTGATCCACCAGATTTTCCTTATAAAGAATTAACTGATACTTTAAAACAACATTATGGACCAGATGACTTAATTTTTACAACTAATGATCCTCTATCTGACATGAACAAGGATTTAGTTGCAGTAACAGAGCAAATGATTTCTAATGTAGAATATCAACTTACTTTTCATTCTAACGATGTCGGGAGACACTTTAATATTGAAAGTACATCTAAGAGCTTGAGTAATGCAGATACTTCTGAGCCAAATACGCAAATGTTTATTGTACAAACAGATAATTTATTAAATTATGAACCTACTTTATTAGATGAAAATACAGTGAATCAGTTCTTATTACCAATACAGAACGCAACGGAAAATAAGGTAAACATTTTGACGAATAATGCCTACGATACATAAAATATAATAAAATTTGAATCCTAAGGGTTTAGATATTTTATATGATGTAATGATGGAATAGTAACCCCGCTTGCGCAAGCGGTATACGCTAAAAAGGCATTAGTGAAGGATGATAGGTGAATCAGATTATTGGCTCATCATGATGAATTCCCCAGGAAACTACAATGGTTTTCAGAGTCGCGTGGTGGTCGACGTAAAAGAGTATATTACTAATAATGGTCCCCTTATTAATAAGTCCTTCCGCCATTGGCTTAAGTATTATTATTATAAATACATCTTTACAAATTTCTACACTTAAATAGTTGAACGAATTTTGATGTAATTTAGCACATAGACTGACTAACATACATAGAGTATTTTTTAAAGAGAAAAGCTGTAGATTGCTTTTAATGCGAAGTAAAAATAATTCTCTTTCTGATATTTAATTCCAGGATGCAGAAAAACCTCAATCACAAGACTTGAACAATACCGGACCCGATCTTTTGGCTTTGCATTCGTGTGTTATTTGCCATGAAATATTTACTTCGGATTCTGATCTTCTTGATCATACAATATCTTTTCATGCTTCAGACACGGCAGAGAACGAAAATCAAAACAATTACACGTTATTTGGTAATAATGATGAAATGGGAACACTTCCAGTTGATGGTATGTTACTTTAAGATCTATCTATAATGGCTAAATTTTACAAAATGAAAATAAAATATCCAATTGCGGACTATGAGGGCATGGTTTCTATAATCCGTAATGGGTTTTGTTAAATATGGTATAAATTGATAGCTGTGGACTTTGTTTGATGTTAATATTTTTGACTTTTGCCTTATCTCGTGTTTCATTTAATAGGTAGGTGCTATTAAACAGCATTATATTGTTACTGTTTAGAATGTAATACAATTTTAGATACTTCTAAGAATACGGCCTTACAAAGTTTCAAACGTAAGTACCTACCTAATTTAGCTTTAGTTACTTATTAATCTTTAAAAATCAGTATTAGATATTTAAAACTAATAGGAGAAATTCACAAGAATTTTTCTCGAATTCCTCCGTGTCACCGTCTATCAAAAATAATTGGCAGATATGATGAATATGCTAGTTATTTATTAGGTACAGCATCATACAGAGTTATATTTTATACGCAACCTGGAATAGTACCAATCTATGTGAGATGGAAAGAGATAATCGTTACTTATATACCTACGAATAGCACTGTCATCAGCCGTTAACTGTCCACTACTAACCATATAGATCTTCCCCTGTTGGAAAAATTTGCCAGTAGTTGCCATGCTTGGCAGGCGAGTCGGCAACCACAGTTTGGCTTTAGGGATATTTTAGGAGGGACGCTGCTGCCCATTAAGTTTCCTTAGTCGCCTCTTACGACGCCCACCGGAAAGAAAGGGGTGGCCCATTCTATACCGGGATTACAGAGCGAACTATGTGGCATAACAAAGTAGAGGATACATTTTGGAGATTATGCTCAAGAACTGCATGACCTGATTCCTCCTTCAACCTTTCATCATGCATACAACCAAAGAGTGGGACTCTTCTCTCTCTCAAGAGTGGAACTCCTTGGCCGTACATAGTTCTTGGTACTTACTACTTATGTTTTTTCATCTAAATATAACCTGCACCGATTTAGGGCAAGTGTGAATAGGCTATTTGGGGCACGAGAGCCCCATCTTAGATCGTATCATCACTTTCCATCAGATGAAATAGAAATCAATCGAGGGATCATTCATTATTAAAAAAGAACATTATGATGCCTACGGTATATTCATGCGTTTCCAGGCCTATCAATTAAGATGTCTCTGTACCCTGAAATTTCATTATCATGTCCTACCCTTCCCAGCATTAATTTTGTGTCCAATTTATTTCAGAATCAGAAAATAATTCTTTAGACTTTGAGTCAGACTGGCTCGTGTGCTCAACATGCGAACGTGTTTTATCAACGGTGCTAGAAATAGAACCTACTGGTAGTATATTTTCACTATTTAAATTCTTTTATCTTTTTGTTTTCATAATTTGCAATTTTCATTTGCTTGTTTTTTTTTTATCTAGGTACTGATTACATGCATATAATACATTTTGTACCTACATTCAGGAAGAATGTCAAAGTAATACAACCATATTTTTTATATACAAAATACAGATTACTATACTATAGTAGCACGTGTAGATAAATATGCTGGGATTTTAGTAATGTGGAGGTTAGTTCCCATTGCTATCAATCATCAAGTCGACCTCCACGCGGTTTCCCCTGGAAATCATCGTGATTATGTCACAATGGTGGTGGAGTAATTTATCGTTGAATATGTCACGATGGCCAAATTGACTTGCCTTTTCATCCCCATTATTCATCCCTCACTGGTGCCCCGCTAGTGTATACTAATAGCGCAAGCGGGATTACCATTCCATTATCATCCGTAAAAAAAAACAAAAAACTATGCGGGGATTAAACCCACGATCACATGAGTGTGTCAAACTATCAAATTGCTACATTATTAAGTTTATCAATATTTTGGATATATTGCTAAACGGAACCTTCATCGAACTTATATTGCTGAGGCAAATTTATCAAGAAAAAAAGAAAATATTGACCTACCCATATCGGAACCACAGATTATCATTTAAATCATCATCATCATATCAGCCTTTACTTGTCTACTGCTGAACATAAGCCTCCCCTTGGGGTTTGCCAGTAGTTGCCACGCTTGGCAGGTGGATTGGCAATCGCAGTTAGGCTTTAGAGATATTTTTAGAGAGCTACTGCTGTCCATCCCTCGCCCACCCTTCTTGTGACGCCCACGGGTAAAGAAGGGGTAGCCTATTCTATACCGGGACCACACGTCTATTTAACTATTCATACTTAAATAATGATCTGTGGGAGTTTTGGGGAATGTAGAGACATTTATTAGTATCGGAGAATAGTATAATTTTATTTACTACTACCTATATCTCTCGGCTTCCCCGGTGAATCAGTACAAAAGTATCCTACATGCTATGTCAGGTTATAACTTATCCGTGTACCAAATTTCAACCCAATTCGTTTATTAGTTTATGTATGAAAGTGTAACAAACATCAGTACATTAGGGGGGAAAGGGATTGTTAGCAATGGAGATTGAAAGCCCTATTGTTAGCAATATACCCTAGTAGGTCGACCTCCACGTGATTCCCTTTGGAAACCATCGTGAACAATTCTTATTGAATTCGTCACGATGGGCTGACTAACTTGCTTCATTCTCACCTATCATCCTTCACTGGTGCCCCGGCGGTGTATACCGATAGCGCGGGTGGGGTTACCACTCCATTATCACCCATTATAAAAAAAAAAAACATCAATTCATTAATGCTTACAAACTTTCGCATTTATAATATCAATACGATAGTAAAATATTATTTTCAATATTTTTAGAACAATTATGCTGCGTCAACAGTAATGGAAAAGGCAATGTATCATCAAGAAAATTATTAACCATGTACGTTTGCGAATTTTGCAACGGTTTATTCGCTGACGGGGAGGCTTTAGACAGACATAGACTCAATTGTTTTAACGCTGAAGAACAGAATTATTATTTGGAACAGTTGGTTAGATATATTTTGTTTACTTGTCGAAATTGCAAGTCTAGTTGTTTATTTATCTAGTAGTTAAGTACTTGTTTCGAATCTATATTTAGACAATATTTTCAGGTTGAAAGCGATACACTAAAGGCGTCTCAGAATTACAATGCAGCATTTTATAACTGTGAATATTGTAGAAAAGATTTTCCATCATCGGAAGAGTTGAAACTCCATCAGGCGCAATGTCAGAGGCCTAATGTGACTAGAAATATACGACGCATGTACTCCAACACTAATAATAACAAGATGTGGAATTGCGGATCTTGCAACCAACTTTTTGCGACGGCTCGGTATCATAATTATTTGGTTTTGAAAAATTAATTAACATTCAGCACGTTTTAGCGTGGTGCGAATGACAGCTGACATTTTAACAGTATTTTTTTTTTGTAAAAGAAATGTATTCAATAAGATTTTTGGAGCCCAAGTTATTTATTTTTTATGCAACTTAGTATCGTAAACAAGCTGACGGCCCACCCGATGGAATGTCGTAATCGCAGCCTATAGACATGAACAATACCATGGACGTAAAAGAGTATACTGTTTTGCCCATGATACTCCCCATGCGTTGCTATTTCTAAGGACTAAGATTTTATGCAATGTTATGTCTTCTCTTATTCTAGTAACATAACCATAAGTGTAAACATTTCAACTGTTTCGAAGAATCTGTCAATTACTACGTAATTTTTTCTGTAGTCTTAGTATCGTTGTAATTTTAGCGACTTATCATCGACACCGTGCTATAATGCGCAATGTATAACCATACTTATATTTGTAAACACGAAAGGCAAAACCTACTGGCTGATATTTAATTATCTTATACATTAACTGATTAATTATTATATGTATGGTTAAAATATATACTTTTTTGTAATTAACTGACTTTTTGTTACAGAGAACTATACCGTCATAAACGTGGGGAAGATCGGTCACCGGGAGCGCCGCTCATGGCATACGTTTGTGAAGAATGTGACAAAGTTTTAGGAAGCATGTGTGCTCTCCACACACACAAGAAAATGCACAAAGTTTCAAAACCGGTAATGCAACTATATATAATCATATTAATGTAAAATAATATTTGTCTTTTTAAATATATAATATCTACTTCATACTAATGTGATTTAATTTGGCAATTACTTCCCAACTATTTTGTGTACCTATGTAGGCATTGGCCCATATAAGATTAAATCTCTTAATAAAAACACATTATGCATTCTCAAACCTGTTTTAACGGCGCATAGTTAAAAGCACCGTTCGCACCAAAAGGTGGGTACCAAACAATTCCCCCCTCCCTTCCCATTAAATACGCCTTTATTTTCCAGAAAATATCATATCTATATATACATACACACACGCACACACAAGTATTATCATCTTAGATTATATATCTAGAAATAAAACGATTTTTAAAAAACTTTAAGGACCTCTTCTTAAATTATATTTATACAATACCGCATTAACATTTTCTATTAAGAAATATTCATTGTCTTTGGTTACTAGAGATGTATCTCAAAACAAATTTAATTACTTAAACTATTTAAATTTCTAATTAGTAACAAACTCTATCTTAACTTTTAGACTTTCGCGTTGCATGGTTTATGGTTTATAAGATACGGGAATAGCGTTAATTTTTATCTTTTACAAACCTCATGGCTTGTAGTCTGTCTTAGTCGAAGTATATTACTCACTAAAAAAAGTTATTTGTAGGGATATCCGTGTCGTATATGTGGCCGTCGCTTTAATCAATCGGGTCATCTCGCCATTCATATGAGGATGCACACGGGGGAGAGGCCTTATCCATGCGACCTATGTCCAAAGGCATTTAAAGTAAAGGTAATTGTACAATTTAATTTCATCATCATATCTGTCGTATACTGTCCATTGCTGAATCTAAGCCTTCTCCGTAGATTGTTCATTACTTTGCTAGTAGTTGCCACGCTTGGCAGGCAACCGCAGTTTGACTTTGTGTGATATTTTAAAAGGGATGCTGCAGATGCTGCTGCCCATCTCACGACCAGTAAGTTCCTTTAGTCGCCCCTTAGGACACCCATAGGAAAGGAAGAGTTGCTTCATTCTGTGCCGGGACCACACTGCGAACAATTTTATTTAATGTGAATAAAAAAAGTCTTACGTGTCAATACTTTGTTTCATTCATTGATTCCCATTTTAAATCTAAACGATATTGTAAATGGTATCTAATGTAGGCATTAACCTATATACATACTTTTAGAAGTTTTTTTTTTATGCAATTTAGAATAGCACAAGCTAACCTAATAGACCTGATGGATCTTAAAAGTTAAAGTTAAGCCTTTAAGTTAAAATCGAATGACTTTCTCTTTGGAAATATAGGAGTTCTTTAACCAAATCAAATCGACGAAAGAATTTACGTTAAAAATATGAAGAAGTCTTTCTAACAGTAGACGCTCTTTGTTTTTTTTTTATTAAAATTTGACAAGAGCATCATACATCTACCGATCTGCCTATGTACAGAACAGAAGTGTATAGAAGTGTATTTAGTGTAACTTCTTACGTCGATTTTATTTAAAAATAAATTCGTTTATTGTTCATTTAATCTAAGTCTACATAATATTTTTACTACTACTATAACACAGTGCTATCCTTATCGATTGTTTCGATTTATTTTTAATTTTGAATCCTTTTCACTTCGCTTCACTGTTTGAAGCCTCATTTGTTTTTCAAGAAAAAAAAAACATTTAATTGATTATAATTTAATTTGTCCATATTAATTTAAAATAAGCTACGCTGGGTACTACTTATCTCGCATCATCGAACGTTCCAACATCAATTTTCCTTGTGACTATAATAACTAACTGCAATGTACACTTAAAAGTTAAAAAAACTAAATCGCCCGGGCAAATTGAATACATATCAGCAGAGGTAGTTCCCAGTATTTTTTTTCGTATGAGATAATGTATGTGAAATGTGCGAGGCAGGTGGAGCGCGACGATCATCGCCGGACCCACACCGGGGAGCGGCCCTTCGCATGCGCGGCGTGTCCGAAGACGTTCACGGCGGCCGCACGCTTGCGTGAACATGCACGCATTCATACAGACCAAAGGTTAAACTTGCAATTGAAAATTATTCCCACTTCTATAGTCGGTTTTAATAGAATTTAATTAAAATGTAAACAAAGAAATATATGTTGACTCAATCACAAAACTGTCTGTAAATACCCAATAATAATAAGTACCTAGGAATCAAAAATAGATTAAATGATGGAACATTAGACTTTTAGACTTTCGCGCTGCATGTTTTATGTTTTATAAAGGACAGAAATTAAGGTGATCATTTATATAGGTAAACTATCATAGTTTACCTACATTATTTCGATCTTTCGACGAGGTAACACCGGTCGTGATCACGGCTACCTAGACATAACGATCCGATAATCAAAATACTTCGTGTGTCCATCAAAAAATTTCCAATTTCAACATCCGAAATAAACCAAACTAATAAGGCATCGTGGTGAATGTAACAACATTCACCACGACGGTAGGAGTCGATCAGATGTCTCTAGCTACTCCATTAAGGATATAGTCGTGAGCATATTTATTGTAACAAAGGAGACTTTGTACTAAAGTCGCTTCTACCGTCGAGCCTTTGGAATGATTATATGACAATATCAGCCATTATTGTCCACTGTTGAATATAGGTCTTCCTCTATTGGGAGATTTGCTGGTAGTTGCCACGCTTTGAAAGCAGGTTGGCAAAAGTTAAGCCTTGGTGATATTTTAAGAGGGACGCTGCTGCCCATTCCTCGAATATTAAGTTCTCTTAGTCGCCTTTTACGACACCCACGGGACAGGAAGGAGTGGCCAATTCTATGCTAGATCACACGGTGAATAAGTGGAATATAGTAATAAAATTGTAGGGTTGGTTGAATTAACAGCAACCGTTACATGTCTGGTGACCACCAGTTTTCATCGGATTGCCATCAACTTATTCGTCGTTCAAAATTATATAAATACATTCAATGGCTTCATAAGTACTGAGGGTTTGCATTCGTGCCTTCCGTATCTGTAGTCACCCCACACATGTTCTATGAAGCTCTAAAGGTCATTTGCGACCAACAGCATTAGAATGGAATAAAAAATTACCAGTGGAACTCTAAACTGAACATTATTACCATTGAGGCAATAAAATGTAATGTCAGATAGCTTGTGAAAACGACATGCAAAACTTTATGACATATTATGCAATGCGGTGGTATTGTCCGATTTTATATTAGTTTCGTGCATTTTTTATTCTTAATCGTTGCTACAGCTCTTTTTAATTGAGGAACCTCTGATGTTTATTCCTTACTGTTTCTCGTGGCTTTGCTCGCATACATAAGTATACACATCCTTATACCAAATTACTTTTAAATCTGTTCAGTAGATTAATTATGATTTAGTAACAATTTTTTTTTTTATACAACTTAGAATGGCAAACAAGCTGACGGCCCACCTGATGGAAAGTGGCAACCATCGCCTATAGACATGAGCAGTACCATGGACATAACAGAGTATACTGTTTCGCCCAAAGATACCCCCCCATGCGTTGCCATTCCTGAGGACTCAGGTGTTGTTCCTAATGGAGTTTTGTATCTACATATATGTATTTAGGCGTGTATTAGAAATATATAGCTATCTATATATTTACATGTGCCTATGTACATGTTTATTCATGTATTACATCGTGATTACTACTAATAGTGCAAAACTATATTGGTTAAGCTTTAGTTTCTACTGATAAAAACGGGGTTCGAGATGCATCCCGCTTACCAGACGTTTACTTTTTTTGCACTGTTGTCTTGCACCTTCCTCATCCATTCTAGGAATGGGGAGTGATGACGTGTTTTTACTCCATTGCTATAAGGAATGTAAAGTTAATTATATTTATTTATAGCTTTATTAAGTATTATTGTGTTGTAAATGAATAGATGCCTGCCGTGAAACCATGAATTTGATAATTCAAAAATTTGTGATATTATTAGATCGAGAAATTCATATAGAGAATTAGATATTGAGATTCTGGACTGTAGTAAAATGTTCCAACTGAATTATTATTATCACAGCTTATAAAAGTTATGTAATATTACATAGTTTACTGAAATCAATACACTAAATAACAAAAAAAGGCAAAACAAAGGGCCATGTAAAATGTCTCAACCGGCAGCGCCTCTATCGGCTCACGTTAGCACCTGAATTGAAAGCTCACCCCCATAGATGGCGTTAGGCGTCTTAAAATTGTCGAATCGAACGAAAACACAAAGTCACTTGGAACCTTTGTGTATTAATAGCAAACAAAGGACGTCGCTGTCTCACAATGTTTTGATAAACACCTTTTTTTTAATTAAATAGGTTATTGCTATTTGACAAACAGGTTATTCTTTTTTTTTTATTTTGTAACGTACGTTCTTGGTCTTATGACGTGTACATGAGGTAGACAACAGGATATACAGTATACGAATTGCAAACCCAGGAATAGTAGGTAGGTACTCATTTGTGAAACAAGCACTTTTCCAAAGGAACATAATTCGTTTGAAGCTTTAGTATAAACTGCGTCACGTGATCGCGAGAATGAAAAACTTATAAAAAGTTAAAAAGTATTTTCACAATTCGAATGTTGTTCTTTAGAAGTGTCTGAATACTGTCAATAGATTTCCAAATATAATACAGTTTCGATCACACTGCGTTAGTTCTTTAAATGGATTTCTCAAACACTTTATGAATAACTAGTTACATTTTGGTGGGTGTATAATTTTCCTCTTTATTCAGAATACAGCTAATAGAAACCGATACAGCACTAAAGTTTATGTATACTTAGTGATTTGTACTAAATGACTATACTTAATCCAGGATATTACCTAGTTTGTGACCGGTTGTGATTTAGTTTTATAGTCGCTGAATTTTTCGCTTACTTTTCCGTGGTATTCATTATTTTTATTTCTCTACCGATATCTCGCACTGAGATTAGCTCTATTGACTCCTTCAAATCTCTGTTATACCTTTACAGGCCGTACCGTTGTGAGATTTGTGGCGCTGCGTTCCGAAGGCCCTACGCTCGTACTGTACACACCCTCATCCATACAGGAGAGAAACCTCATGAGTGTGACGTCTGTGGAACCGCATTCAGGTTTGTATGATCAAATCAAATTATGCTGTAATATTAATGATATAGCTCAATTAGACAAAAACGTCTGAATGTGATCCTGGTGCATTTGACCAATTCTTACTAATATTATGTTAAAGTGAATTTGTTTGTTACATCTTAGTACCTTAATAGCCTAACCAATCACTATCAAATTTGGTACGCTATTTGGAATAAAGAAGGACGTAGGCTACTTTTTATCTCGGTCACTGAACATGTCCCGGTTACGCGGAGGAAGTCGGTGGTAAAATCTAATATTACAAATGTATTTTTATTGTATGCAGACGTTCTGGTGACATGTGGAAACACAAGAGAACCCTTCATGGGGTACAAGCAACGAATGATATGCAGTATAGAAAACCTTAAAAAGTATAATTCAATAATGAAACAAGCAAATAGAAGACACTTATATTTCATATGAAAAGATATTATTATCAATATATTAAGAGATCTAAATACTGAATGGACTTCACATACTATATATCTGGTTTTAGGATGAAAATGGAAGTCTCCCTGAAGTTACAAATCCGATTGTTCAGATCGGAATGATACTCAATCGATTTGCGCTGCATCAAACTATTATCAGTCTAAACTAATTTGTTTAAAGAAGGGCTACAGAATATCAAATAGCACTTTAGTGGGACTAAGGACATTTATTGTGGAGAATAAAATAAAGAATGAATTTCCTTCAAAAATGAAGGCTAAGTCATCTAGTATACTACAAGAATAGTCTGCATTATTTTTTTACAAATCCGATTGGAACAATTGTCAATATGAAATTGACGAATTACTTTATATGTATAGGTACCGTAACAGCCTTAAAGTAATTACCTACATACAAATCTTATAACACTATTTGTGGTTAAACTGTTTTTAATCTCTATTCATTCTTATTTTGAGTAGATAGCTACCTGAATATTGAATACCATTATTATTCTTTATTACTTTTGTAATTTGAGCAGGGTGCTAAATATATTGCAGGCAGTAAAATTAAAGGATACGGAGGCACAACACCATAGTCTTTTGGAATGGTAAAGAACAAAGAAGTACCATGTGTTGAACAATACATTGTAATCTTTGGTACTGATCATGGCTAGTGGCAACGGTTATTACTTTCCATTAAATTGACTCTCACTTGTTTGTCATTCTTAGTATTATAAAAAAAAAAAGAATTTCTAAAGCGATAATAAGGCTCAAATAGCTTCTTTTAAGCCTTTTGCAGTAGCAAAAACTGATACGCAAAGTTTGTGACACATTTATTGCATGTTTATTATCATAATCCTATTTTAACTATTCAAGTGTTTTGTCTTTTTTTTTACAATGAATTCTCAATTTAAAAGAAAGTGACATAATACTCTTCCAATAGTTTAAATAACTTTTACTTTTTATGAATAAAGGGTTCTAGCTTTTTGTATTTAGTTATTTTAACAGTATTTATAAACACTATGCGTATAATTTTTTTTGTCAATTTTTCAAAATAGAATGCACTATAAATAATGATAGTTGTGATTGCTACTCATTAGTTGATATGTAGACTAGGTATGGGTAATATCAGTATTGCTCCAATATCCATATATTGTGTTCCATTGATATCAGAAAAAGGTCATAATTTCGATATCCTTCATACCTATCAGATATGTATATCTATTAATTTAGGTCGGATTCTTTATTTCTAATTATATATTGGATAACCGATATTTAATATATATATATATATATATATATATATATATATATATTTAATGCGTCATATCGCTTTCATTCATTCCGCATTGTAATTAGTAAATGTGTGATCGTGTGTGGATTAAGCATATAATAGGTATATACGAGATATAGTTATGTTTACTTAATAGTTAAAAGACTGGAACCCTATTTGATTTGGATTAATTAACCATTACTAATAGAAGTGTCTTGCACTTGGAAATAGTTCGACCATATTTGATCTCAATTCAATCACGTCAAATTTTATGCCTGTAGGTAAAGGCTTATATCATATCTATATTTGTATACAAACTCATTTTGTATAACGATACAATGTAAGGTTAAATTTAGACGGAAAAGTCTGTATGCATTTGCAGATATGCCAATTGTATAAATTCTCCTATTTTAGGATCACTTTGCTCGCGTTAACTTTATTTTTTCCTTCTCTCGAGTAGTCCAAAAATTTCGTAGACGTTCTAATACGTTCTACAATTTCAGCTTCATTACCTTTGTCCGGCTATCATTTATATAGCCTTGTTGTCCTTGCATAAAAGAGATGATCAAAGGAACTTAGTGATCGAGGAATAGGCAGCAGCGTCCCTCTTAAAATATTATCAAAGCTTAACTACGGTTCCCAATCCGCGTGCCAAGCGTGGCAACTACTGGCAACACTCCCATTCTGGTAAAGACCTATGTTTAGCAGTGTACAGTTAATGGCTAATATGATGAACTTTATTAGAGATTTTGCAACATTATACATATAGGTAGTGATCTATATGTTAATGAGTGAGGTTGTGGTAGAGCTGCAGCCTCACTTGTGTTTCTCCCACCAACCAACAATGCTTGTTTTGGTTTAATGGGTAAGATAGGTTTAGCAATAATATTACTGGGTCCAGAGGCATATTATTTTAGTTTTCAGGAACCATGATACTATTCAAGTCTATGGGTATTCAGATAACAGTTTCCATCTGAGCAGCTGTCAGCTTTTGTAGTATTTCTTTTTTATATAATAAATATTCATTTTTATTTTTCTTGCACTATAAAGTTATCACATTTACATCTTACAGATATTTGAATACCTACTTAAATATATAAATACATACTCAAAGCCTCATTATTTGCGTATTGGTGGATGAAAAGGACTACTATAAAATTCTTATTGCAAGATGACCCTAAAAAATAATTATTTCTTTTTTTGTATTTGTAAAAATCTTGTAAAATACATAAGTGACTTTAATTCACTATAATGGGAACAAAGGAGATTCTAGTGTTATGAAATAAAAGTCAGGTTTCATCAACAGTAAATATTTATTATAAAAATTGCTCTTATAGCCACATTTCTGTTTCTATAATATATATAATATTTATGTTCATTCTTTGTGCCATTGTTTCACAAAATTATTCCTGTTCTTGTTATTTTCGACACAACAGCTTAAACAATTAATATATTACAATAATGTCCTACATTAGATAATTAAAAAAACAATTTTGAACAACTCCTAACATGAGGAACATTTTAACAATTCGATGTGCACAATATTATTATTCAAAATTGGTTTCATAATTTTCTAATGAAAGTATGAGCGTCTTTGTAATTTACCGTGGCACGCCACGACAATGTAGGATTTTATCGTCACGATATAACAGTAGAGTAAAATGTATGTAATTATATGGAGACACTTTTAATTTACCGCGACGATATCGTGGACGTCCATAACATAACGATATCGTGGATGTGCACAGAAAATTAGAAATGTCTCCATTTCACTTTCATACAATTCTAAAAATTTTTCTCTTCTATTATATCGTGACGATAATATCGTACAAAATCATGTCGTACTACAGTAAATTATAAAAGCGGCCTATGCCTTCTAAAATATATTCACAATTGTTTCAATAAAAAGATCCTGTCATTTTTGGTAACCAATGGCAACGAAAAACTAAGAAGATACATCTATAACAATGTAATTGTAAGTTACGTATGCACACGGCTCTGAGTTCTTCTTGGAAGAGTCAGTCGCCAGAAGAGACGGATATGACGGATACTAATGTCACAACAATTATTGCTGAGGGTCACAACACAGTGCGCGGGCGCAGCGCCGCCCCGCAAGGGTAGCTAACAGATTATGGCAAGTAACAACAACATAAGAAATACAGAGTATTTAATATAATTGAAGTAGTACCCACTATATCATTTCACAAATAATATACAGCAACGAATTAATCAATTTTCCTACTTTGAGTACAATTTATTCTGAAAAAGGTATTATAGAAATATGAAAATGACAGGATAGAATATAGTAAATGTTTGTACGTAATTGCAAGCATTAGGAATATCATACGTTCTGTTATTCTGTCGTATAGATTGTCTACCGAATATATAATATTTTGATCAAGCTTTTCAAATAATTTCTTAACTAATAATCAATAATCATACATTAAGTACCCAGAAATTAAATAATAAAAAATCACTACAAAAAATAGTCTTACAAACAATACACGACAGATACAGCACAATATGATTTTAAATTTTTACCAGATACTTATATACCTGACATTTAGGTATATGTATGTCGAACAGAAATTTGTCGAAGAGTCGCTAACTTACTTAAGTAAACCATCACAACCAACCATACGGACATATTCAACAAAAAATATCTACGCAAAAATAAACCGTAAAATAAAATAGATTGAGCTGAATTCAGTTATCCAGTGCGCGGGTTTAGAACTCGCAAATGACTAAAACATTGTTCATGTATCTTATTAACTGTACTGGCAATATTTTTGTGACGTCTTATATTAAAATGCATTTATATGTAACTTGTAAGTCTGTACTTGTTGAGTTCATGGACAGAATAGAGGTTGTATAATACAACACGGTGGTGCGAGGGCCCGGGGCCCTTCGCAGTAGCAGAGTGATGAGCTGCTTGCCCGGACAATCGACATCGATATGAATAAAATTATTAACTATACATAATTTATTTACAACGGCCGCGAGTATCCGCGCCATAATGCCCATCTCCATAATATAATATGTACACTAAATTTAAGAACATAGAGTTTTCTCTCATTAGCTACCGAATCACAATTCAAATATTTGAGTAATTGACAACGGTGGACAAACATGCGCCGGAGCACTAATGCATCCTACTTTATTGAAATTTGTACTTTGCTCTATTAAATGTCGTGCTAGGTATGTTTGGTCCATGCAGTCACAATTCCGTGGATGGCGTATCCATTCATTTCGATTGGCGACATTAGGAGAGTGGTCAGAATAATTAATTACAATACAAAAATCAATTATAATTAAAATATTGATGATATTTAACGATCATTATACGTGCCAACATATCCCATGTGGGAGCGACCACAAATCCCAATGGCGCCAGAATCATTGCGTTCCGTTTCACGTGCGCGTTGCGCTGCTCACAACCCGATGTTAATAATGAGAGAACTTATCTTCACCACGCCGTCAAGAGATCACTTATATCCACGTTTTGAAGGAGCGGTTTCTACAAATTTTGACTAGAACTCTCTTTTTAAAAACGACGGGTTGTTTGAACGATTATCGATTTGATTATTCGATGTTTCAAATCTCATTGCATTTTGCTAATAAATTTCTCAGATAATGTTTGCTAATATAATTAGGTAATGCTTATTTTCGGATGTCTTCTGATGAAAGAAAACTAGAATTAAACGTTGTGAAAAAATGCCATTTATCCTCTATTAGTGTAGTAACGTGTTAGGAACTGCAATCACGGTTAGCTAGGAAGTAAATTATTCGATGAGAATTTATTTACCATTTATATTATGTATAAATAAAATTTCTTATTATCTAGACCATGTGATACCGTTCATCAGAAGGTATCCGCATTTACAAATTCTTTAAAACACATTACTTTCCATTGCAAAATTAGGTAGTTTAAGTACAGATTCAATCAATTGTTACAAATTCCAATTATTCAAATGCATGATCCTGTTGTAAATTATGAAACTTTCATAGTTACAGCTGTTAAGGCTACATAATTGACATCCAGTTACATTGCGCCACAGCGGACTTTTGGATGTGAACTAATGAAAGTTTACAGAATTTTAAGTACTCAGTAGACTTTACATTTATTTGTTCATCATAGTTCATTAGTGTGAACTCGTCTCAAGTGCTTCATGCTGCGGTCATCAGTGGCCAGTACATGTTGTTTACATGTGCTTCGCAAACGATCAGCAATATCGGCACATGTCCACACATATCTATTATTCTGTCGTACTTACACTTAGCGAAATCCGATTCGTGCGAGGTGTGCTCTTAATGTTGTTGGAATTGAACCGAGAACTATCGATCATAGAGTCAAAAACGATAGATATTATTATACTAAACGTAGGAGGTAATCTTTCGAAATTAAATGCATTTAAAGCTTCAATTTGAAAAGGCCACACTTCCACGAAGCGATTTCTGTCAATAAAACATAACCCAATCATCGTCATCTCGTTGTTCAATTTACATTATATGGAAAATATCAAGACAGAAATAATTTCATACTATCGCTTTTTTCTTTCAACGAAAATAATAAATATAGCTTTTTACCTAATTAATTACACAATAATTTCAACAAAAATTTCAAACACCTGAGTTTTAGTTTAAACGATAATAACGTCATTAGCTAAGTCACTTCAGTTTCGGTTTGGAATTCACTTAAAGGAAATAAAACTATCAAAAATAACTCGGCTCGCATATAGTCCTGCGTCACGTCCGAAGCTAGCACCTTCCCTTTTAGCAATTATATAATACTAACTACTGACTGCGTGTATGCGTCCCGTCGCGTCGACGTCGCTTCTTGGAGGAGAGTCGGGCGCCGGGCGGCGCGGCGCCCCCGACTAGATGTGCCGCGCGGCCGCTGCGGCGGCGGCAGCCGCGCGGCGCCGCCTCACCTCACCGCCGCAGCCGCGGCCGCAGCCGGCGTATCACAGGCGCTCAGTGGGGCGCGGGCGAGTCCTGCCCGCGCGGCGTGCACTAACTCGTCGGCACCAGCAACCGCACGAAGCTGTCCTCGCTCCAGCTCCAGTCGTCGGGCCACGCGTCCTCGGGCGGGTCTAGCGCCGATCGTGACGACAGGCTCAGCACTGAACCCCAGTCGATGGTGCGCTGCTCCTCGTCGCCGTACCCGGAGTCTCTGTCGGGGGGCGGTGGCGAAGGGAACGGAGTTGCGCGGCCGGCGGCCGGGTCTCGCGCGCTCAGCAGCTCGCACCGCGCCACGCCGCCGGTCACGCACGCAGGTTCGAAGGGTGCTTCCTCTGCGCTCTCTCGCTCCATTTCCCGCTCGATGCCACGCAAAGTATTGCACACTAACACGGAGCGCCTTAATGACGGGTCCGCCGTTTGACGGAAACGCGCTAATTTCAACGCACACAAGTTCATCATCTTGAATCGTCTTTCGCGGTAGCAGCGCCTGGAGGCGCAGCGTCCTGCGGCCCGGCCGTCGCAGCAGGCGCGCGCCGCAGCGCCCCCGAGCTCCAGGTAAGACTTGCCGTTCTCGGCACGAATAGTATCGTGGGCGCCGCACCAGCCACCGCACCAGCGCCGGCGGCACGCGCGCCTTTCGTCCTCCTCTGTTCGCCAGCAGTCTCCGCCGCCGGCTCCGGCGGCCACAGCCTCGAGCCGCGCTATCGAGTCTTCCCAGCGTGCGACTTTACCGCCGCCCTCGCACGGGGAGCTGGCGCGCCGCTTGGCGCCGCACCCGCCGCCCGAGCCCTGCAATACCACAACATATTGGTTAAAAACCTTAATTTGTAGGGTAACTTAAATAATAAAACTATAATAATCTATTTCTTTTGAATTATTATAAAAGAAAATAACCAACGTCCACATTGTGTTTATTCTTGACAATGTCAGATTACAGAACAATAAAAAATACCACAAATGATAAGTCGTCTGTATTTTAGTACAATATAAATGTACATTTACATTGTACTAAAAAAAAAAACTTTAATATTAACAAAATCTCACGAGAATATATTTCGAAAACAAAAATAACCAATCGAATTTAAAATCAGTCCAGAATTGAATACGTAAACAACATACAAACAAATATATTAAAAATACAATAGACTCGAGACCTTTCTTTTTTTAATCAGTCAAAAATAATGTATGTACCAAATAAGATTTTTTATAGATGAAATTGTTTGGAACTCGAAATAAAAAAAAATAGTCAACTTGTAGAACAACATACCTATTTCTAGCTTTAGCCATCGCTACATAAGAGAAACAATCGGCCACATATAGAACAGTGTGTGGGCCGACAGATATTCGGCTGTATGTGTGATAGGTACCAGTACCACTTGGCCGTAACCCGCAACAGTCGACTGACGAAAGTACCGTAATCTTTGGCTCAACCATCGACTTTGTACTCGATGGGAAATTGATGGAAATTATTTAGAGGTATTACATTTTTATAGACGTAAATTATTCTCAAATTTCAAATTGTGAACTGGTTATAGTAATATCTATAGACATATAAAACGAAGAACTACGACAAAATACAATATTTTAATTACTTAGTAAAATATATCTTTGAAATATGTCCAATGTAAAATATGTACAGTAAAGATTTACAACAATAACATAGTAAATACTGATATAAAAAATCAAAGATATAAAAAGTGACAATGAAAATAGAGCGTAGGTAATCAACCCAAATTATCTAACCAATAACATTCATAGTCAAACGTACCGAAAATAATGTCTAGAAGTAGACATGTAGTTCTATACTTATACCGACTCGACGCCAGACATCGTTGTTCTGTCTAAGTTATTTATTTTTTTATTGCAAAACAATTTTAAGCGTAACTTTTGTACAGAAATATAAATACTAGCTAATTATACTCTATCAAAATTTTCAAAAAATCCTTAGTGTTTTGATTTATTAGGCGATAATTAATTTTCTTTAAATACAAATTAAATTAAAAATCCCTCTTCCAGTGAAATCACTATAAATGGCATCCTCAAATAACCAACATACGGGTACCGCGTGTTGGGTACCTGAGTATACAGGGTACAGCGCCATTGTGCGCTCGACCCTTCTCAGTTTTTTTTTTAGATACAATACGCTCCCAGGGTGCAGCCCCTACGACCAGGGATTCGCCCAGGTAGTGATTCGTGCCTCACTACCCGCACAAGGGATTTGCCTGCTTGTGTCGCTCACATTCTTTGCTTTATCATACCGAAACATGCAAAATATTCTACAAAGCTCTTAAAATCTCCAATTAGTTCTAAGTTCAAGTAATAAAGCAAAACAATATTTTTATAGACTTTGTTTTAAACTTGAAAAACGAGGTATCACTTTTGCGTTTGCAGCTGCACTGTATAGATGGACGGAAAAACGACAAGGCTCGTTGACTTTTACCTTTTACCAATTGTTGGTTGTTTATAAGAGTAGTGATGCATGCATTGCGCGTTTGGTGTCCATCGTAACTTATATTTCGCAAGGTTGCGAGTCAGTGAGCGGCATGTGTGGCGATGCAGCCGTCAGAGAATAAAATAAAATAGCTAAAGGCGATGTCCAGCAGGCGGCAGATGCCTCTGCACCTGCCCCGACAATTAGATGGCACACGCGCCTTCACAACCTAGGATCTACTTCGACTAAATACTATTATTATATAAAGAAATACTTAATACTAAAAAAGTGGCAATTACTTAGTCAGTTTCTAAATCTTTCTCTGAAATTTGTTAACTTTAGAGATAAAGAATAATATTTCAGAATCGTCGGCAATACCCAATATCCAACGACATCTACACACGCAGTAATGGAAACCAGGTAGAATTGTGCCTACTTTCTTACTCGTATTTATAGATAAGCACTACATTCAATTTCCTACTGTAAAAAAGTTTACATAAATACTAATCATTATATTTTATTTCTTAATATTCACTGTTCCTGATTGTTGATATAAATGGTTATTGGCTATCGACAATTAGCTAAGCAAATACCTGCACAGTCTACAATTACTACAGAAAATTGTTTACTGCTAGGTAGGTAAGTAATGCAATGAGAATTGCGGACATAGTGAGTGAGCTGGAGCGCTGGAAGGCCAGCTCAGTGTTGCCGACCAACGTTGACTCAGCGGCCACTCATCGCAACGCTGCAAATAATCATTTTGCGTCACCCCTTTATCGCTGCGCGGAAAACGTGCCGTTCCATTGTGCGCTGTGAACGTCGCACGCCAACTGTGCCGTTTATTATAGCAGCAAAATTATAACCGCGCGCGACGAGTTTCAATATGCAGAAATAGATAATTCTACGAGGTTTCATCGGTATCACGCGGCGCTCGAGCTGTGTCTTTCGCGTCGCCAGCGCTGGCGCTCATGAAAATAAATTTAGTAAATGACGTTGGCGCTCCACGTTGCCGCTCCGCGCCACTGGAACGCGATTGCACACCGTTGCCGCTCCGCCTCGCTCTTTCTAATCTTGTCGTAAAGTTCTTTTTCTGATGCGCAGCGCGTCGCTCGTTCGTTCTCTCCGCTCGAAACTTGGAAACGTCTGACGTTTATTTTATCGCTAGTCTCGAATATGCAGCATTTTATAACCGTACCTCTGCGACGTTATATGGCAAAGCGAGGAGTAACTGCTTATACAAAATGATAACCATAAAGAATTCAGCTCTGTATCGAACTCGGACACGAAGCCGTATCGACTACGATTCGAAATAGCGGTGCAATAATCGTTCCTCTCGCTCGAGCCGAGGTAGGAAAAGTTCGGTCGGCGAGGCGAGTCGAACTGACTTTCTATGGCATTGTGAAGACCGAATAGATGACGGTACGGCATTGCCTCACAACGCGCTAAGCCATGTCAAGCAAGCGAGTGCGGGTCGTCGCGGTGAGGAGCGGTGGGTGGGCGGGAGGGCTGGCTCGCTAGTGTGCGAGCAGTTCGTGCACGTGCACGCGCACACAGCCGCACGCTATAATAACATCGCGTAGCGGCCGTCCGCTTGTATCTAGCGCTACAGCTACATACTTCGAGAGGCGACCGTCGACGAACGTTATATTAATATTATAGCCAACTATTAAAGCGGGGTAGAAACGAGGGGTGCGCAGCACACTGAACAGTTAATGTAGAGCGTACAGTTGGAATCAGTTATGTATGCGACAGGGCAGGGAATGTTTTGAACAAAATGTCAGTTCTAAAAGTAGATCTGTGGCAAAATAAATTGATAGGTAGGTACAAAATGAATATAGGACAATTATCTAATCCTTACTAATAATATATTATAAATATAAAAGTGAGTTTATTTGTTACCTTATAGCGCATTAACGCTTATCATTAACAATTAATATGAGGTATACACGTATTATATGGGATGGAGGTTATAGGCTATTTTTTTATCTCGGTCAGTAAACATATCCCGGTCAAGCGGACGAAGTCGCGGATAATAGATAGTTGTTTATATTTCCGTAGCTTTGAGATAAATGGTTTAAGAACTAAAATAGGTACATATATAGAGAGTTATTTATATTTAATGCGAATGATACAGTTATTTTTTCATGCAAAGTACTGATTCTAAATATATGTTAATGGTATAAAATCCTTGGCATCTTTAAGATTATTTTTTTTATTATTGTCCAGAGGAGTGGGCGGGAGGCTGGCTCCTAAAAGTCACATATTATATATTCCCAGATATGTCTTTGCCAGCACAAAATTTCGTTCCATATTCTAGGGTGGGCACCAGACAATACAAGAGTGCCCACTCAGCCCCATCTCTAAATACGCCTATGCATAAAATAAATAGATAAGAGATAATACCTCCATTGAAAAATAACTAATTGACTACCTACTATTAATAGGGCCTACGTCAATCAGCATTTTCTAAATTTGAACACTCTGAGATTCAAAATGAATATGGTATGATAATGTTCTTTTTTTAAGTTATAAACCTTTTACACAACACAATAGGCACGTAATATTCATAGAGCGGTAATTTAATTAATTAAAAGGGTTGTTTACACAGTACTTTAGAAATATACATTTCAACGAGGATCCTGTTAGCTAAATTTTTTACTCGCAAGATTAGAGAGTAATCTTAAACATTACATATAATAACTTTTAATAATTTTTCAATAATTTCCTTTTTAGTATTTTTTTACATCACAGTTTATATATTTTTCCAGGAAACACGATTTTCTCTATCTGTTTTTTTTTCATAATAAACCCATTAAATGTAATCTTATTACATTCAATTCAATTTTAATAGTTTAGTAGTTTTCCTTTTGATAATTCTAATTGAAAACTCATTATACTTTTATCTTCCTGACATGGCAAACAAATATACAGCTCGTCTAATAATGAACCGTTACTGTTGGCTACTAATATTTGTAATACTAATAACATTAGTTGGACTTTATCATCGTTGTAACCATCTTAAATGAAAGACACTGGATTTGTTTTGATTTTTGTGGGGAATTTTTTAAACATAAAACCTAAACTATGCAAGAATCATGACAATCATATTAGGAGATTCAGTAGATGTTATTTCCATCACGAGTGCATTATTTGATAATAGATAAGTGGTAGAAATTTGACCAAGGTGAACTATAGAAATGGAAGTATCATTACAAATTAGTGCAGCATTTTCAACTTTTCACAGGTTAGATATTGCAAGATTTTGAGTGATTTGTGTTTGTATAACTATAACTTGTAAGTAAACGCCTAGCTACTGATTGCCTGCACACCACCAGCGATTGAACTACAAATGTTATTC